CTGGCCGAGCTCAAGCCTCACACGACATAGTCCCTGGAGGTGCGGCCTGGCCTGAGGGCCGTTACGTCTCCGTTCGCTGCAGGAGCCGCCTCTGCCACCGCGGTGCCAAAAGCAGATGCTGCTCGGGGATTCCTGGGCCAGGAGTCCTGCTCCGGGGACATTCCCAGCTCAGCCTCCTCAGACGCGATTTTCTCTTCTGTGAAGTGGGAACGTGAGTGGGGCCCATCTGCCCAGGGGCGTGGGGAGGATTAGCCGGGGTCCGGAAGGAAAGGCACTCGGGTGGGGCCTGGCACATCGTCCACACCCGCTGTTGGGTGACACGGATGCCGGTCAGTTCACACCGTGGCAGGTGCTGTGGGACCATGGTTTATGTGCCTTGTGACTCTCCTGCCCTCCGTGGGGCAGGCTGCGGCCCCATTTACACCGACGGAAACTGTCTCAGGCAGTGGGAGGGCTGCGCCCTGTGGGAGGCCCTCTGTTCCCCTGGGCCCCCCCCCCACCCACCCAGGGTGGGAGCTGCTTGCTGAGGGCGGGTCCGAAATGGATGCGTCTGGATGAGCTGCTGCCGCCTAACGAGCTGTCTGGACCATGGGGCCGGACGCATCTGCCGCTCCTGTTAGGAGCACGGATTCTGTGGGTCACACGCTTGGAACGGCCAGAGCGGGGACGACGTCTTGCCTGTGGCGTCTGCGCTTCTGCTGGGAAGACTTGGAGGCTGGGGCCAGAATCCCCTGGAAGCTCCTTCGTGTCCTTCTGGCTGTCGGCTGTGACCTTGGCGAGGGCGGGGCAGAACCCCTGGTCCCGTCTCTACCTGGCTGATGGGCTTCCTCACAGGAGGGCATCCGGGAGCACGAGGCGGAGGCTGTGTGTGGATTACGGCCCAGCCTCGAGAGTCACTCGGCACGGAGCCAGCTGAGCCCTACAGTGGACGGTCGCTCAGGCCGGCCCAGACTCACGGCGGAGGTGCCAGGCACTGTCTCTGCAGTCAGGGTGCACGGACGAGGAGCGTGCGGGCCATGCAGTGGGAGAGCCTGCGGGTCGGGTGTGTCTGGTGGCCGCCTGGGAAGGCCCCGTCCACACAGTGTGTGCGTGGCGCAGTGACGTGGTCAGACTCGAGGCTGCCGCGTCTCTCCTGGGTCAGGCACCAGATGGACCCAGGCACTGGTTGGTGTTCAGGGACCTGGTGTGAGCCGGGAGTCACAAACACCAGGTGAAGCGCCTGCACTGAAGCGCCGCAGAGACGGTGCCACCGCCATTTTTCACTGTGTCTTCTTCCCGCTGTTGGCGTTAGGAACCCCCAAGTGCTTGTAACTGAATGTGCCTGCGTCCACGTTACACGTCCCTTCTCCACATCTGAATGTGCCACGTTACAGGTCCCTTCTCCACATCTGAATGTGCCACGTTACAGGTCCCTTCTCCACATCTGAATGTGCCACGTTACAGGTCCCTTCTCCGCATCTGAATGTGCCACGTTACAGGTCCCTTCTCCACATCTGAATGTGCCACGTTACAGGTCCCTTCTCCGCATCTGAATGTACCTGCGTCCATGTTACAGGTCCCTTCTCCACATGTCCCATGTGACCGCACGTTTTCCGGGCTGGACCCACAGGCTAGAGTATTTGGTGACAGCCTCTGTGGCCTTCAAGGCCGCTCCTGTGAGCCGTGGTCAGGTGGTCCTATCTGGTTGGTTGCACCACGTCTCACAGGCTTCTGTGTCCCCCGGGACTGGACCCAGCACCCTGGGCCCCAGATCTCCAGCCTGGAGGGGCCCGGAGGCTGTCATGGCACCCACTGCCCTCCAGGACTCTCGGGAGACCCAGGGGATTAGCGGTGAACAGCCAGGAAAGGCCTCCGTGCTCGGGCGTCCCCAGGCATGGGCCTGGGAAACCCGAGTGCACAGGGCAAGTCCTCTGTCGTGGCTCCACTCTCGGGTCCCCAGAGCCACTGAGCCAAGCCCCCTGCTTCCCCTGGGTGGGACGCTGCTTCCTCGGGCTTCCCACTTCTTCAGGAAGTTCAGCTTCAGGACTGCAGGGTGGAAACAGAATCGGCGTCTCCTCCTTCATCCCCGGGTCCCTCCAGAGGCTCCAATGCTCCCTACTCAGATCCTAACTCATCACAACCACACAGCAACACACAGCACATCCCTATTAGGAAGAAACTGTGCCCTAAAAAAATATGCTGGAGGCTGAACCCCCGACACTCAGAATGTCGTCTTATTTGGAAATAGGGTCTCTGCCGTGATAACTAGTTAAAAGGGGGTTGTCAGGGTGGGCCCTGTCCAGCGTGACTGGTGCGCTTATAAAGAGGGGAAGACAAGCCCGGAGGGAAGATGATGGCGGACACGGGGGGAAGACGGCAGCCGGTGCCTGGTGCAGCGAACCCGGGAACGCTGGGCAGCCCGCAGCACCTGAAGCTGGAAGGGGTAGGATGGATCCTCCCTGGAGCCTCTGACCGCCTGGCCCTGCCCCCGCCTGGATTTCAGCCTTCCAGACTCCAGAGCAGTGAGAGGATGAATCCCTGTGGCTGTAATCCCCGCAGTCTTTGCTATTTTGTTCCTGCCACCCCCGAGACGAACACGCGCGGGATCTGCGAATCCTGCACTGACCTCCAGGGCAGCACCTCCGTGTTAGACATGGGGCTGACTAGCGGTGACAGACCCAGACCAGCTGGGGCTTAGCTCCCGCCTGGGTGCCCCGGCTCAGACACACCCGTTCTGCCTCCATGGGGTCCCTGTGAAGGGGGCTCACTGACCCCGGGCAGGCTCCTGCAGGGCCATGGGGGCAAAGAAACTGCATGGGCAGCACCTGGCTCACGGCAGGGACTTGGCTGCCAGCGAGTCTCACACACCCGGCCTCAAAAGTTTCACAGCAACCCCTGCAGGAAGGAGGTTCTCCAAGCGGCATCCTCGGCACCCCACACCACACACAGCCTTTGAAAGCCTCTGCCACGAGGCCTGCACAGCTCTCACCAAGCCTCCTTTCATGGCTCGCCGAGCCCTGCCTGGTGTGATGAAGCCCTCAACGGAGGCGGTAGATTGGGCCGCGCCATCTCTAAGTCCAAACCCAATTTTATCTCTTTTCAGAATAAAATGATGTGTTGAACTTTTCTGCACAAAATACTCAGAAAGCAGATGGGGCAGCAGAGCCACGCTGGCGGAGTGGAACCTCAGGCCCTCCTCGTGCCCCGGCCTCTCCGGCACAGTGACGGTGCCTGGGGCCTGCTCGGGGCTCTCTGTGACCCTGGCCAGCAACAAGCACCCCCTCCGGTTAAGCTGCAGCCTGAGATCCACGCTGCCCGGCAGGGGCTCTGGGGGCCGCAGGGCTGGTCCTGTGACAAGTGGGGGATTCCCAGGTCCTCCAGGCTCCTAGCGCTCCACGTCTGGAAGCAGTGTCTCCTCACATCGGTGGGCACAGCTATTTCCCAGCTGCACAGGCCCAACTGCAGGGCCTCCTGTGACCCCTACACCCCCTCGTTCCACCCACAAACCGCACGGAATTCATCCCCCTCCCCCCCGTCTCCCTCCTCCCTGGTGGCCCGGAGCCCAGGTCTCCTGGCTCTGACTCGGGGTGAGGTCTTCAGACCCCTGCGGTCTGTCCTCTGCCACCCCAGGAATCACAGAGGCCACAGGGGTCCCTGGAGGAGGACGCTGGGCCCACTCCAAGCTCCACCTCCCATTCCACCTGGAGCAGGAGTGGGTGGTACTGAGACAGCCCAGGCCCTGCCTGCCCACCGCCTCCATTTCTTCCCTGCCCACTGCGGCTGCACCAGCCTCTGGCCTCTGGAGCAGCCGGGCCCTGAGCACAGTGCCACGAAGCCCCTGCCCCGCAGGGCGAGGGCCATTCTGAGCTGAGGGAGTCCAGGAGGAGAACGAGCTCGGCCACTCTGGATTCCCTCATTCGTAACTCAGCTTCTTCCAGAACTTTCCATCAGTTCCCTAAGCCACCGTGAGAGGTTTGAAATGGGGAAGAGGGTGGGATGGAGGGGCGGAGGCTCATGGTTCTCCCTCTGGGACAGGCCTCACTGGGTGGCCGGGCGGGCAGCCAGGGGGAGCCTGCTGGGCTGGCCTGGGCCTCCTGTGTTCCTGGAACGTGTGGGGTGTGGAGCTGAGACCTGCCCTCCGCAGGCCCCCAGTTCTACACAGGCCTTCCCAGCTGCACCCCAAGGGCCCCCCAGTACTACACAGGCTGCACCCCAGGTTCCTGCCATGGCTCCTCATGGGGACCCCAGGCACCCCCACCTCCCTCTGCACCCTGCCCTCCACACTGAGCCAAGACAGAGGCACAGAGGACGGCTTGGGGTCACCACCACTGCCCCCGCCCTCTGTGCGGAAGGACCCACTTTTCTAAGGTCCCAATCCATTGTCGCCTGGGGGCAATTCACATAACAGCAACACACAGGGCTTGAAAAATAAAGTAGACGTGGGAAATGCCATCTTTTGTGATTCTACAGAATTTCTCAGCAACGTTGCCACCAAACGTCTAGTGAGACTCAGGGTAGCCCGTTCTCTCTGTTCCCAACTCCAGCTCAGGGACCGTGGGGGCCTTGGCTGCCCAGCTTGGCTTCCAGCTGCCTCAGCCCAGGCTCTGGAGAGGCCTCAGTGCTCTGAGCAGGAGCCCTGGACCTCACCCTGTCCCTAGACAGTGGCCGCACTTGCCTTCACCCCATCCCCAGATGCCACAGCTGCACTCGCCCGCACCCCCACCCCGTCCCGTCCCCGGATGCTATGGCCTCATTCGCCCTCACCCCGTCCCCAGACGTCGTGGCCTCACTCACCCTCACCCTGTCCCCAGAAACCGCGGCCGCACTCGCCCGCACCCCCACCCCATCCTGTCCCCGGATGCTATGGCCTCATTCGCCCTCACCCCGTCCCCAGACATCGTGGCCTCACTCACCCTCACCCTGTCCCCAGACACCGCGGCCGCATTCGCCCTCACCCTGTCCTCAGATGCCACGGCCTCACTCAGCCTCACTCTGTCCCCGGACACTGTGGCCACACTCACCCTCATGCCCAGTTCTACGTTCTCGCCACCGTACACCTCCATGCCAGGGTCTAGCAGCCCAATGTCTCCGAAGTACTCGCGGTCCACCACGAAGGAGCAGCCGATCATGGCCGGGGTCCTGGGAGGCAGAGATGGCGGCGTGAGGACCTCACTGTGCAGGCCTGAGCCCTGCCTGCGGGGCCATGAGCCAGGAGAGCCTGGGAGACCCCGCCACCCCTCCCTGCTGTGCCTCCTCCCTGCGCACTCAGGTCCCTGTGCCCAAGGTGAGGGGCTGCTGCTCCTCCAGCCGTCAGGACTTGAGTCCCTCGAGCCTGGTGAAGCACTCAGCCCAGACAGCGTCCAAACGCTGAACGCCAATAGATTACAGGACCTGCATTGAATTCAGCTTAGTGTAGAGGTTTAAGAAAGATCAGTTGGCTCACGCCTGTTATCCCAGCACTTAGGGAGGCTGAGGCAGGAGGATCACTGGAGCCTGGGAAGTTGAGGCTGCAGTGAGCGGCTATTGTACCACTACACTCCAGCCTGGACAACAGAGTGAGATCCTGTCTCCCCTCTCCCCTGAAAAAAGATCCGTTTACCTAAGGAGCCCTGTGGTTGCCTTGAACATCATTTCCCAAGCTCGAGTGAGTCACTTGCCCACCTCCCCCATGCTTCATCCTAACTGTGTACTAGGAACCAGGGCTGCACTGGGCAGTTGCATAGGTTGTGCACTGCTCAACTCCACAGAACCTTGTCAATGGCAGCCTCTGAACACCACAGCTTGGAGCTGCAAGTACACAGCCTGTGTAGCTATGTGTAACAGATTGCCAGCTGTACTATGCTTCCTGTAATAACTCTAAAATGTCAGCTGACTTAGCCTGGCCCCATCTCTGTGAAATCATGCATTGGTATGCTAGTTTTATTTTTTCTGATATGTATTGAGAGTGCCTTGGAGCTGCAAATCCCCCAGGAAGAGGCCGCATGGACAGCAGTGGTGAAGGCAGGATCTGCAGAGTGGAGCGGGAGGATAAGCTGGTGTGCCATTGTGGGTGATGCCGCAGGCTCATTCATTCACCCCTCTTGGCTTTCTACTGGGTGCCTGGAAGGTGGCAGGGATTGAAAAAGAGGCAAGAAAGCCACATCTCCAGCAAGGAGCAGGGAGAGTCTGTGTGTTGTAAGGAAGGAGGAGCTTCTCATCTTTGCTGAAATATTTTGCCTCAAAACAATTTCCATGTCCATGGAGGGCTTCATTTCTTCCGAGGCCTCAGGAGCTGTCAGAGGAAGCAGCAAAGCCTCACACTGTCCCCAGATGCCATGGCAGGCCGGCCAAAGGCCCCCGCAGCCACGGTCAAGGCCAAGGCCGCCCTGCAGGCCTTGAGCTTCTCCGATCCTCCTCTACGTGTCAGTGCATTCTTCCATAAAAACAACAGCAAAAAGTTGGCCTCTGTCATAATTTAAAAGAAGCAATTCTGTCCCCAACGACTCAGCTGTCAGAAATAAATGCCCATCAATTGTCCAAGAATAACAGGAGCATTAAAAAGAGATTATCCTTTTCTTTGTGCAAACATCCAATTTGTTCTGTCATTAGATTTCGGCCACAAACCTAACAGTGATGAAATTTTAATACCTTCTTTGTTTTTTAATAGCAACATTTGATTGGGTAAGTTATAGCTCATCGCTTACGACAGGTATCTCTCCCGTTTTCTTAACAACCACAATCATCTCGGGGTGATCTCTGATGAAGTGAAGAGCCAGCCAGATCCTCTGCCACGTCTGTTGTAGGGTAGTGTCATTTCATTATTGCTCAGGGTTCTAAAATAAACTCACGAGACAAGGGAGGCAGCACCAGCTGGAACCGGATTGACCTGCCCGAGAAATGCCTGCGGTGATTACGGAAAAAGGCAGGGCGGAGGGTTCTGAGGCTCTCGTGGGAGTGCCTGTCACCGTGGAGACAGCCTCCCCTCGGGGCGGTTCTGCCGAACGCGGGCACAGGGGTGCAGAGTGGAGGCCCCAGGTCCTGCCTGCTGGAGCTGCTCTGCCCAACGCCCGCGCCTGCCCTCCGGTTCTCAGCTTCCGGGGCGTTAGTCCAGCCGGACGCCTCTCGTTCTTGTTAGCATTAGAAGTGAGTCAGCCCGGCAGCCACGGAGGGACAGGTGGATACATGGAGAGTGGCCCGTCCAGGCTGTAGACCGCGATTCCGGTGGAAGGAGCGAGGCTGACACAGGTTGAGACGTGGAGGAACCCTGGAAACGTGGCACCAAGGGCAGGGAGCCAGGTGCAAGAGGCCGCCCCCCGTCCGCATGCAAGGAACAGAAGAGGCAAGTCCACGGGGGCAGGAAGTGGATCGTGGAGGCAGGGGCTGGGGCAGGGGAGGGGAGTGGCTCCTTGTGGGTACGGGGTCCCCATGCGGAGGGAGGACAATGCTTTGGAACGAGACGGAGGTGGCAGCTGTGTGACACTGTGATGGTCTAAACGCTGCTGAGGTGTGCACTTTAGTGTGGTTAATTTATGTTATGTGAGTTTCACTAAGGGCCCATTGAGTGCTCTGATCCTCCACAGACCCTGATAACAAGAAAAGCCATCGTGGCCGGGCACAGTGGCTCACGCCTGTAATCCTAGCACTTTGGGAGGCCAAGGCAGGCGGATCACCTGAGGTCAGGAGTTCAAGATCAGACTGGCCAATGTGATGAAACCCCATCTCTACTAAAAGTACAAAAAATCAGCTGTGTGTGGTGGTGCACACCTGTAATCCCAGCTACTTGGGAGGCTGAGGCAGGAAAATCACTTGGACCTGAGAGGCAGAGGTTGCAGTGAGCCAAAATCACACCACTGCACTCCAGCCTGGGCAACAGAGAGGGATTCTGTCTCTAACAACAACAACAAAGGCTCAGCTCATGCCTACATAAGATGGCAAGGAGGCAGTGGGCGCTGCCCGTGTGGGTGGAGTCGGGACCCACATCCCCAGAGGCCCGCAGTGGGCCTGTCGTCTGCACACGTGCACAGGGAGGCCTAGTGAGCCAAGTGTCCGTGAACCTGGGATAGGGACGTAAACAGCAGAGCATGTGTAAGACACAATCCACGGAGAAGCTGAGACAAGGGCACTGGAGCCACGTCCTTCCACATGGAGTTCAGAACACATGGAGAATAACACACGCTGAAACCTCGCTGTGCAAGACCCACGTGGTGACCAGCACACGGTACATGTATGTGCAGATGTGCAAGCCACAAACGCATGGAAACATCACCTGAGAGCTTAATTATTTACATTTCTTTCACACTCATTTGGTTTTATGAATTTCAGTCAATACAATTTTAACTTTGGTTTTAGTCAACACTTGCCATCTTCAATCAGAGGCACTGAAACGAAAAGTTAAAATTAAAACTGGGGTACATTAAGGATGGAAAGCGCAGGAAGGCACATCCAGTTCATGGCGCGGGTTCGGGGCAGGAAGCTGTGAAACAGGCCGGGTGCTCTGCGTCTTGGGGGCTCCCAGCATCTGCTTTCTGGGGAGGGGTGTGGCTGCTTTCGTTTCTGTGTGGCTTGTCAATGGGGCTGGGGTCGCTGACTCCTTAAATCCTCGGAGCGCAGGGCCGTGCAAGCCCAGCTCTCAGAGGGGACTCCTCTAGCGCTGCGGGATCCTGCTGGGGCCTCCGGGCCCGCACCTCCCTCCCAGGTCCTCTTCTGACCGGGAGAGGTCTCCGGGAGAGCACACTCTTCTTTGTTCCTTGGATGAAGGAGAAAATCAGGGGTCTCCTCCCTGCAGGCCCAGCCCCCGGCAGGCAGGGCTCTGCGAGCTGGAGGGCCCTGGGAAATGGAGGCAGTGCTTGGGGTTCCAGAGCTATGGAGGGAATTTCTGAGTGATTCTCCGCTGGGCAGGCCTGATGTCAGCCCAGCCCTTGATCCTGGAGGGGCTGGTGGCGTATCAGCAGCCTCTAAGCACCTACAGCCTGGGCCCCTCCTCCTGGAACACGTGTCCCCAGGTGTCCTCTGAAGTCACACCTGAACCAGCAGCCACGATGAGGGCCAGCTCCCCGGGCCTGCCCCCCACCTGCCAGGCTGTCAGTCCTTCCTGCGTTCTCCCGCCTTGCTCACGTGTTGGAGGTGCCAGGTCTTAACTGGGATCCCAGGAATCCTCCGGGATGAGGATGGTCCCCAGCATTTGTCCCGGGAGAAAGGAGCAGGGGAGCGGGAAGAAGAATAGAACAGGGTGGAGGCCAGCAGGGCAGCCACCTCCACAGGCCCAGGCAGCGAGGCCACGCTCCTGCCCAGGACTGTCCCATTGACCAGCTCAGGTGCTTCAACTCTGCAGGGAGCAAAGAGGCCTCCGAAGATGAGCCACAGGCGGCTGTGAACGCAGGAAGGGCAGAGTCCCAGGCACGTGAGCGCCTCCCGCAGCCACATCCCCGCTGTGACGGAAGGCCCTCCTGTCCTGCGGCCACCGACACTGACATTTAATGTTATTTAAAATCTGTGTCTAAGAAGGCAGAGAAGCACGTGCCACGTTTTAGAGTTTGCATCCACAATGGGAAAAGTGAAAGACTGTTCGTACTTAAAAAGTGAAGTGGCTAGCCCTGCACCTGAAGGTCCATTCCCCAAACAGATCACGGAAACGCCGTCCTGGAGCAGGGCCCCCTTCCTCTGCGGCCAGAAGCCTGGGTGGCAGCGACTCCACTCTGCTGTGATATGCAAACGAGAAAACATGGCCATGTGTCAATAAAGCTTTATTTACAAATACAGGACTGTGGGCCATGATTCCCTGACTCCTGCTGTACATCCTTGAAAATGCCCTCCACTGAGGCCGGGCGTGGTGGCTCACGCCTGTAATCCCAGCACTTTGGGAGGCCAAGGCAGGCAGATCACGAGGTCAGGAGATCCAGACCATCCTGGCTAACACAGTGAAACCCTGTTTCTACTAAAAATACAAAAAATGAGCCGGGCGTGGTGACGGGCGCCTGTAGTCCCAGCTACTCGGGAGGCTGAGGCAGGAGAATGGTGTGAACCCGGGAGGCGGAGGTTGCAGTGAGCTGAGATCGTGCCACTGCACTCCAGCCTGGGTGACAAAGCGAGACTCCGTCTCAAAAAAAAAAAAAAAAAAAAAAGAGAGAGAGAGAGAAAATGCCCTCCACTGCTTTTTTTCTTTTTTTTTTTTTTAAGACTGAATTTTGCTCTTGTTTCGCCAGGCTGGGAACTCCTGACCTCAGGTGATCCACCCGCCTCGGCCTCCCAAAGTGCTGGAAATACAGGCGTGAGCCACCGCACCCGGCCCCTCTGTTGCTTTTAATATGCATATTTACTTTCATTTATGGAAATTTTCAAGCGTATGCAAAAGGAGAAAAACGAGGAGAATGTGTTGTCGGTTTCAGCGATGATTAGCATCGTGTCCTCCTTATTTTTTTCTCTCGCCTGTTACTCTTGATCCTCCAGCATGAGGGGAGTGATTCTAATAGGGCTCTTGTCTGTTACTCCGGTCCCCTGTGCGAGGGGAGCGATTCTGACAGGGCTGTTGTCTGTTACTCTGGTCCTCTGTACTGTTGTCTGTTACTCCGGTCCCCTGTGCGAGGGGAGCGATTCTGACAGGGCTGTTGTCTGTTACTCTGGTCCCTGTCTGACTCCGCCCCTGCGAGGGGAGCGATTCTGACAGGGCTGTTGTCTGTTACTCCTCGCGTCCCTCCCCTGTGCGAGGGGAGCGATTCTGACAGGGCTGTTGTCTGTTACTCTGGTCCTCTGTGCTGTTGTCTGTTACTCCGGTCCCCTGTGCGAGGGGAGCGATTCTGACAGGGCTGTTGTCTGTTACCCGTCCCCTGTGCAGTGATCTGGGGTGTCTGTTACTCCGGTCCCCTGTGCGAGGGGAGCGATTCTGACAGGACTGTTGTCTGTTACTCCGGTCCCCTGTGCGAGGGGAGCGATTCTGACAGGGCTGTTGTCTGTTACTCCGGTCCCCTGTGCGAGGGGAGCGATTCTGACAGGGCTGTTGTCTGTTACTCCGGTCCCCTGTGCGAGGGGAGCGATTCTGACAGGGCTGTTGTCTGTTACTCCGGTCCCCTGTGCGAGGGGAGCGATTCTGACAGGCTGTTGTCTGTTACTCCCGTCCCCAGTCCCCTGTGCGAGGGGAGCGATTCTGACAGGGCTGTTGTCTGTTACTCCGGTCCCCTGTGCGAGGGAGCGATTCTGGGGTGTTGTTGTTATCCGGTCCCTGGGAGGGGAGCGATTCTGACAGGCTGTTGTCTGTTATCCGTTGTGCCGTGACCTGTTCCCCGGTCCCCTGTGCGAGGGGAGCGAGGGGGCGATTCTGACAGGGCTGTTGTCTGTTACTCCGGTCCCCTGTGCGAGGGGAGCGATTCTGACAGGGCTGTTGTCTGTTACTCCGGTCCCCTGTGCGAGGGGAGCGATTCTGACAGGGCTGTTGTCTGTTACGTCCCTGTGGAGGGAGGATCTGCGGCTGTTGTCTGTTACTCCGGTCCCCTGTGCGAGGGGAGCGATTCTGACAGGGCTGTTGTCTGTTACTCCGGTCCCCTGTGCGAGGGGAGCGATTCTGACAGGACTGTTGTCTGTTACTCCGGTCCCCTGTGTGAGGGGAGCGATTCTGACAGGGCTCCAGCACGTGACTCTGTGACCCTCCAGTGAGTGCGGAGCTCATTTCTGACAGGGTCTCGCCCAGACTCTGGTCCTCCAGGGTGAGTTTTGACGAACTCACTCACATGAAGGTCAGGCAGGTAAAGTACAGGAGAGAAGAGGACTAGTTTCACGTGTTGAACATGATGGAATCAAAGACTTCATCTTCTTTTCCTTGAAATAGTCAATCCTCTCGGTCTATCGCTATCCTCCCTCTCTCCGTGAGGACCCAACTCTAGAGAAGTATTCCCCCACGTGGAGCAGCGGCATCAGCAAACGACAAACAACACAGGACAGACAGGCTTGCTGGGTGTGGCTGTTGGGACTGGTGGTGACTGTGGCTCTGCTCTGTCCCCGGGAGCAGCCGCAACTCAGCTTCAGCTCATCAAGACTGAGTAAGAATCGGGGCCTAGAATCTTCCAATTTTCAAAGAGTAGAAATCATTTTCACGTAAAATAAGATTTCACGTGAAAATGATTAAGTATTGGTTCTGTCAACCAAGAATAAAATTCTAAGACCCCCAACCAATTGAATGGAGCCCCTTCTCAACCAAAGGCACCCCAAAGTAACCCAGGAAAACCAGCTCAGGTCCTGATGGGAAGGGGGTTTGGACACGCCCCCTCAGACCCTCCTCCCTTTGGAATTCAGGAACACTAAAACAGAGATGTTAAGTCTGACCAAACAGACTCTTTGTAGAGATAAAACGCATCCAAAATGACAGTTAACAGGCCCTGAAAGAAATTAAGTATTTTACCCCAAAATATACTTCTTTGATGTATTTTGAAATGACCTGCAATGCGGTCTCTTGTGGGAGACTCCACATTCCGTAGAGACTTCCTTGTCCTTTGGAGGTCTTTTCTGACCCAGATGAGACTAACCAGAAGTCTGACCCCTTTTTAAGTCTGATGAGAAACATTTACAATCTCTTCCTTCTGAAGCTCCTTCTGAAGCCCGATACCTGGAGGTTTCATCTGCATCGTAAAACCTTGGTCTCCACAACCCCTTATCTTAACCAGACACTCCTTTCTACCGATGCCAGCTCTTTAGATAATAACCAGTTACCAGTCAGAAAATCTTTGAATCCACCCATGACCTAGAATTCCCCACTTCCGGTCGTCCTGCCTTTTGGACTGAACCAGTGCGCCCCTGACATGTGTGGACTGATTCCTATGTCTCCCTAAAACGTATAAATCCAGCGGGCTGCACGCCTGCACGCTGAGCATGGAAGCAGGGGCGCCGGCCGCGACAACACCACGTGGACCCGAGGGCACCTTTGCGATCGTCACGCTGGGCGTCCACTATGGAAGCTGTCCTGGAACTTCCAAGGTGGCCTCGTCTCGTTGAGGCTGTCTGCTGTTTCTGTCCCCATGAGGGCGGGCGAAATCCTGAGCTCAGGCAGTCCACCCACCTCGGCCTCCCAAGTGTCGAGATTACAGGCATGAACCACCACACCTGCCTTAGTATTTCATTTATTCTTTATAATCAACTTTGGGGAGTGAAATTTATATAAAATGAAATGCATCCATGTGATATTTGCATTTTGGTCCATTCTGACTGATGGAGACCCCATCCTTGTCCAGGAGAGGACACTGCTGGCCTGGAACTGTCCCAGGCTCTGTCCCTGTAAGCCCTGACCCTCGGCCTCTGCCCCAGGATGAGTTTTGCCTTCCGTGGAATTCTGTGTGCAGGAATCACGCAGAAACTCTCTTCCATGTGTGGCTCCCAGGCTCAGCACAAGCCTCTGCATCTCACCATGTTGTTAGGTGTGGAAGGGTCTGCTCCTCCCTGTTTCTGAGTATTCTGTGATGCGAGTGGAGTCTGCCCTGCTCAACCATTCACCTGCTGACGCACAGGAGGTTACTGTAACACCACTGTGAACGTTTGTGTGGAAGCCTTTGCATGTACATGTGTCTCATTTATTTTGAGAAAAACACCTGGGAGTGGGATAGGTGGGACACTGGAGGGAGGGACTGGAGGGGGGACACTGGAGGGGGGACACTGGAGTGGGGAACACTGGAGGGGGAACACTGGAGGGGGGACACTGGAGGGAGGGACACTGGAGGGGGACACTGGAGGGGGAACACTGGAGGGGGGACACTGGAGGGGGAACACTGGAGGGAGGGACACTGGAGGGGGACACTGGAGGGGGACACTGGAGGGAGGACACTGGAGGGGGACACTGGAGGGGGGACACTGGAGGGGGACACGGGAGGGGGACACTGGAGGGAGGGACACTGGAGGGGGGACACTGGAGGGGGGACACTGGAGGGGGACACTGGAGGGACACTGGAGGGGGGACACTGGAGGGGGACACTGGAGGGGGGACACTGGAGGGGGGACACTGGAGGGGGACACTGGAGGGAGGGACACTGGAGGGGGACACTGGAGGGGGACACTGGAGGGGGACACTGGAGAGGGTTTTGGGCCTTCAGAAGGAGCTGCTGCTTTTGCAAAGCATCTGTGCTGATTCACAGTCCTGCCAGCCACGTCCAAGAGTTGTGTCTGTGCCTTGTCCTTGTCAACACTTGGTATTGTCAGCCTACACCTTTCAGCCACCCCAGTGGGCATGGAGCCCCATCTCACTGCGGGTTGAATTTGCCTCTCCCTGGACCGTGGGGAGCACCTTTCATGAGCTTTCTGGCACAGGCCAGTCTTCTCCTGGGTAGTGTCCGGTCACGTCGCTGCCTGTCCTTTAGCTGAAGGTTGGAACGGGGGTTTCAGCAGCTGTCCAGGTGGTGGCTATGAGGAGCAGTGCGCAGCCATGCCCTGAAGACTCGATGGGGCCAGTGAGCCTGCTCCTGCTGCAGCTCAGGGCATCCAGAGCCTGCCAAAAACTGTGGGAGTTGCCTCCCATTGGGTTCTCTGAATTTCACTCATTTTTAAAATGTCAAACGCAAGGCAATCCTGACACAACACAATCCTTTTCCTGCTGATTGGGGATTATCAAGTGCATTTGGAATGAAGAAAAATAACCTTCAAGCCGTTAGTCCCGGCTCCAGTGAGCCCCGAGGGCTACATCTGCATCTCTGTGACACAGACAAGCTCTGTGTGCCAAGTTTTTACGGCAAAGGCCGGGGGCCCCAGCACCTGGCCCAACCCTCACCATGGTCTCTGCGACGGCCCCTGCACCAGGCTGTGCTTGCTGGGGGACATCCCCCGCCCCTGTCCCCCTCCCCCGTCCCCAGCCCCCGTCCCCCGCCCGCCTCACTCTGCTCCGCTCCTTCCGGGCAGGGCCGCCCTCAACCCCTGCTGGGGCAGCTCACCTGATGGGTGCTGACTCGTCGCCGCGGTCCAGCCAGTCCTGCGGGGGGATGATGTACATGCACCAGAGGCCCCAGTTGTAGCCGTGGGCAGCGTTGGCGTACTGCTGCACCTCAAACGTGCTGTACTTGATGTTGTCTATGGCTGGCAGCACGATGCGACGCCGGTCCTCTCGGATCCGAGACAGTGCGGGCTCCGCCCTGCAGAGGCACAGCCGTGAGTGGGGGCACCCCCAGCCCACCGCACTCCCCGAGGAGGGTCCACTCGCCCACAGGGAGGGGAGGCCAGGCCCCACCTGGTCTGCATCCAACCCTGCCACCCCCTGCTGCCACCGCCTCACTTGGAAGCCCCAGGGCCCCTCTCAGCAGCAGACCCACCCTGACTAAGGCCTCACCCCTGCTGGGGCAGCCCCTCGAATGCTGCTGGCCCCTGGGGGACACTGGCACTGGCCACGCTGGCCCAGCTGCAGCGTCTCTGAAGGGCTGCCCAGGGGTCCACAAGAGGTCAGCTATGTCCATCACAGGGCTCCCCAGCTCAGTCTTCCTCTCTGCCCAGCCCAGAGTCCCTCCTCTCCTTTCTTGTTCCTGTGGGAGCTGCATTCATTTGCAAGAATTAATTGAGGATCTACTATGTGCCATGCCCTATTCCCACAAATTGGAACACAATCATGAACTAAGGAATAAAAACAATCCGTGTCATGGGGAGCTCGCACAGTGTGGGATGGAAAAGCCACCAGGCACCGCTGTGCAGTGTGGAACCTGTGCGAGTGTGCAGTGGCCCCGCTCCAGGATGGGACAGAGGATGAGGTATAAGCAGTCATGGATGTGGTAGAAGGGGCTCGCAGTTTTAAGTAGGGCTGCCCTGGGTAGTGACTGGCAGGAGGCGTGGAGGGAGTCTTGGAGGGAACAGCAGTTGCACCGAAGCCCCAGCGTGTGCCTGATGGGCCTGCAGGGCTGGCCAGGAGGCTGGACAGAGCGATGGCGCAGTCGGGGGTGAGGAGGGCAGAGAGGAAGGTGAGCAGAAGCGGCCTCCGTGGGCATCAGTTCCGTCTGCGATTCCCCATCCCAGGCAGGGGTCCTGGGAGGCAGGTGAGACACCATGGTCTACCGAAAGGTGAGACGGCTGCAGAGGCCCGCCATCCATGCTGGAGTCCCACGGGGCTGCAGCCACCTAGCCACCAGCTGACATAGAGCCCAAAGGCCGCAGTGAGGGGCAGGACGGCCTGAGGGCAGATTTGGGCCAGCTCAGGCAGGGCCGGTGTGGGGAGCGGCGAGGCCCTGACCCTGCTTATGAGACCACGTGGCTGTCCTCACCCCTCCTTCCCATCCTTCTGAGCGTGAGGCCTGGTATTTACCTGCCTTTCAGCTTTGTGAGGAGGATTAATTAATTACTGTTAGCAAAGTGCTTCAGAGATGAAAAGCTCCCTGGAAATGCCAGGTCTGCTAATACGGCAGAATCCTTTGTGGAGACAGTTATGGGAGCGGTTGCTATTTACAGAAGGATAACTGGGTTTTCAGTTGTGAAAATTAAAGTTGCACTGGTTTAAAATTGCATTTTGGCTGGGGGTGGTGGCTCACACCTGTAATCCCGGCACTTTGGGAGGCTGAGGCGCGTGGATCACGAAGTCAGGAGATCAAAACCATCCTGGCTAACACAGTGAAACCCCGTCTTTACTTAAAAAAAAAAAAAAAAAAAAAAAAATTAGCCAGGCGTGGTGGCGGCACCTGTAGTCCCAGCTACTCAGGAGGCTGAGGCAGGAGAATGGCGGGAACCCGGGAGGCGGAGCTTGCAGTGAGCCAAGATCGTGCCACTGCACTGCAGCCTGGGTGACAGAGCAAGACCCTGTCTCAAACAAAAAAATTTGCATTTTGATGTGACAGACACAAGGCTCCCCCACATGCCCTCAGGCCTCGGGGAGCTTACGCGGCGTCAGAGGGACTGAAAGGCTGCGGGTGTAGTTGTGCAGTGCGCAACTTGTGCGACCATGTGGGGTGACCCTGAGGGGGGCAGGCAGTGGAACACGATTCATGCACAACACGTCAGAAGCTGATGAACATTGAGGGAAAGGGGAGCACCCGGCGGAGGAGCGAGGAAGGGGCAGGGAGGGCACAGGGCAGAGGAGGCAGCGTCTCATCAGAACAGCGCCGGCTGGGCGTCGGCTGGGGGCTGAGATGCCCCAGGAAAGCCGAGTGTGAGGCGAGAAGCCTGAGAGGTGCCAAGTCCCCGCTCAAACCCCCTGATGCTGTTATAGAAACCACCGGTTTTCAGAAGCCCCAAAACGCCAGGTTCCCCGGGGACCCAGCAGGAGGCCCGGGTCACATGCAGTGGGGTGTCCCAGCCAACAGTGACAGTCCCCAGCCTCCGTGTAACCCTGAGATTGATCGTCAGCTGCCGCTTCCCACCAAAGTCCCCTGCGGCAACCACAGTTGGCATTTCCCTGAGTTTAGAGTTTAGAAAAATGAGTCAGGAGAGTTGATATAAAATCTTCAGTTTTGGTTTCTCCAGGAAGTGGGGAAAACGGCCTCCCAGGTCTTCCCTGTGGTTGGGTGGAGAGGGGCGGGGCCTGGCCCGGGGGCGGGGCACACAGCCCTGTGCATGGTGGGGGCAGGGCCTGGCCTGGGGGCGGGGCACACACCCCTGTGCATGGTGGGTGCCGAGTCTGGTCCGGGTGCCCGGCACACACCCCTGTGCATGGTGGGGGCGGGGCCTGGCCCGGGTGCGGGGCACACACCCCTGTGCATTGTGGGTGCAGGGTCTGGCCCGGGTGCCGGGCACACACCCCTGTGCATTGTGGGTGCAGGACTGGCTGAGGTGCAGGGTACACACCCCTGTGCATTGTGGGTGCAGGACTGGCTGAGGTGCAGGGCACACACCCCTGTGCATTGTGGGTGCAGGGTCTGGCCTGGGTGCAGGGCACACACCCCTGTGCATTGTGGACACAGGACTGGCTGAGGTGCAGGGCACACACCCCTGTGCATTGTGGGTGCAGGACTGGCTGAGGTGCAGGGCACACACCCTTGTGCATTGTGGGTGCAGGGTCTGGCCTGGGTGCGGGGCACACACCCCTGTGCATTGTGGGTGCAGGGTCTGGCCTGGGTGCGGGGCACACACCCCTGTGCATTGTGGACGCAGGACTGGCTGAGGTGCAGGGCACACACCCCTGTACACTATGGACCCTGTAGGTGCCCTCTGTGGGGCTGGCTTTGGGGTTTGGATGGGGGCATCCTGGGCTGCCCCAACTCTAATGACAAGAGTCCTTGCACAAGGCAGGGATGGGGAGACAGACACAGGGAGGGCGTGGGGGGCGGAAGGGGGGCTGCAGCCTCCAGGAGCTGAGAGAGGTGGGAGGGATCCTTGCCTGGAGCCTCTGGGGGAAACTCAGCCCTGCCCACACCTTGAGGTGAAGTCCTGCTGCCCTGAGCCGCCCAGCAGGGGTGCTTTGTGCTGGTGGCCCCAGGACCCCATACACAAGGTGACCCTCAGCCCAGGACCTTCACGGATGAAGCCCGAGCTCACTTCCCACGCCCCTCGCACTCGGCTCAGGCCTCCAGGGCACCTGTGGCCACCTCCAGCGACTGAGCAGGGCCTGAGAGGCCGGACGTGTACACTTCAGCCCCACCCCACCTGATCTGAGGTTCCCGCCCCACGGGGGACACACAGTACCCGAGACTGCTGCAGTCAGGACGGGGTCACGTTCTCCCGGGGCAAGGTGGGCACAGACCAAGCCTCACACACGTGCCTCAGAGCTTCTAAGAACCATGTCCTTGGGTGCGTGCTGGGCCTGCCCTCCAGTGGTTCTGCATTTGGGAGCTGGACACGGAGGTAACCGAACAGGTGGACTCGGTGGTGGCTCTCAGCTCCAGCTCCTGAAGGCTACGGTGGGTACCCCAGCCCCGGGGCCAGCCCAGCGGCCAGGCTGCAGCAGCACAGCGGCTGAGGAGGGGGATGGTGGAGGGGGACCCGGTGAGACCGGCTGTCCAGCCTGTTCTGGCCCTTACCAGCCTGTGTTGAACTCGACGTGGGCATCGAAGAAGCCGACGACTGGGGCAGTGGCCGCCTTCCAGCCCTGCAGCCGGGCGCGGATCAGTCCTTCCCGCCGGCTATTGCGGACGATCTTCACGAGGCCCGGGTACCGCTTGTTGACATACTGGTCCAGATTGAACTTGAGCTCCACTGAGGAGAGACAAGATGTCAGCACGCTGGCAGGTGCCGGCAGGCGCGGGGCCACCAAGACCCAAGGCCAGAAACGCTGCGTGCCCCGTGTGGGATGGGTGTCTCGTAAACGTTCTCTTAGGACCCACTGAGCTGCACGCGGTTCAGCGTGGGAGGTCCCAGAGATGAGACCCCAGTCTCACGACGCTGACATTCCCGTGGGAGACACAGCAAACAAGGACACACACCAGACCAGACAGCAGCCCGAGCTGCAGAGACGGGATACACAGGGCTGAGCAGTCAGCCGTGAAAAAACCAAGTCCATAGATGGATGGGTGGACACACAAACGTCGTCTCTCCACGCAACCGAACCGGCTCAGCTGAGACCATAGATGGATGGGTGGACACACAAACGTGGTCTCTCCACGCAACCGAACCGGCTCAGCCAAGTCCATGCATGGATGGGTGGACACACAAACGTGGTCTCTCCACACAACGGAACCGGCTCAGCCAAGTCCATGCATGGATGGGTGGACACACAAACGTGGTCTCTCCACATAACGGAACGTGCTCAGCCAAGTCCATGCATGGATGGGTGGACACACAAACGTGGTCTCTCCACGCAACCGAACCGGCTCAGCCAAGTCCATAGATGGATGGGTGGACACACAAACATGGCCTCTCCATGCTGGAGGCAGGGTGTCCTGATGGAGCTCCCTGTGGCCAAGGGCAAGACACAGGTAGCCAAGCTGGACTGGATGGTCCTCCCCACACACCACCCTCTGCAGCGAGATAGGGCTCAGGAGGGTGGCCACACCATTCAGTCCTCCGCACACAGACCCCAGTGTAGACGGTGCTGCCGGGCTGGGGCCCTGCTGCAGGCCAGAGCTTGCCCCACAGCCTCATGGTATAGCCTTCCGCCTCCACAAGGGGTCGGGAAGGGCCTGCCCAGGTTTCACTCCATTTCCGGAGGGAGTGTCATGGCTGTGGGCTCTCTGCTTTGCGCCTGGGAAGGGCAGATGGGGGACAGGCCTGGGGCAGTGCCAGATCCTCGTTTGGTGTTTCAAGCCTGTGTGCCAGAGGGTGTGAGCAGTGCTGCCCTCAGGGCACCTGAGGCTGAGGAGGGTGGCGCTGAGGAACCACGGGGCTTGGGCTCCAGCCGCCAGCTCCGTCCAGCCAAGCTCTGGTGCCTCTGTGGGCATGAGAGGCGGGAGGTGGCACCTGGGAGAGCTCAGCTCAGCTGGCCTCTGTGGAGGGTGGGGTGGCTGACCCCAACTTCACCTCCACCCGGAGCCTGAGAGGGGAGCTTGTCTGGAAGCAGGGACTTTGTAGACGTATCCAGTTGAGGATCTTGAGATGAGATCCTCCTGGATTTGGGGTGAGCTCTGAGTCTAGTGTGGGTCCTCATGAGAAGAGGAGAAGATGCAGACACAGGGGGAGAGGCTGTGTGACGGAGGCAGAGAGAGGCACGGGCAGCCACACAGTGGGGACAGCATGTACGAGTCATGACAGAGGCTGGAAGGCAGGAGGGACCCCCGTAGCTTTAGAGCCCCGTGGACAGACGGGGTGCGGTCCTCTGTCGCTCCGTCCCGGAAGGCTCCACCCAACCCCAGCTCAACCCAGCTACAGGCAGCCCCCCATGAGCACCGTGCTGAGGCCGCGCCCACTCACCATTGTCACTGTTGTCGTCCACCAGGATGACCTCCTTGAGGAGCTGGGAGGGCGTGTGGTTGACCACGCTGTGCACGGAGCGCAGGATGACCGACAGTGCCTCGTTGACGAAGATGAAGACCACGGAGACCTGGGGCAGGTCCTGGGCGTAGCTCATGTGTCTGCACCTGCAAGAGACATGGTTTGGGGTGTGGTCAGGGTGGGGTGCACGGGACCCTGGGAGCCAGGTGCACCCTTCGAGGGCTACTGGACAAGGCTTTGGCCCTACAACCAGACGTCAAGGGTGTACGGGGGTCAGAGCTGTTCTAGAAAGAAACTAGTAACAGTAACACGGCACCCAGCATACACACAGCCCCTGTGCCCACCCTGTCCTCAGAGCAACCTCAAGAGATGAATGTCCCCGTTCTACAGACAGGAGCCTCCCCCGTGGGCCATGAGTGCAGGTGCTGGGATTCCAACCCCAGCTGTCAGCTTCAGGAGCACGTTGGGGACGGTGCTGCTGGGCACAGCTGAGGAGCCAGGCACAGCCAAGGAGCCAGCCACCCTCATGGGCAGCCACTTCCCGCCCTGGCTAGCAGCTGGTTCCGAGCCTCTGGTGAGAATTTCAAAGGGACGAGGGCTGTGCGTCACCATCACATTTATCTGGACTGTGGTGCTCAGCGAGGGAGATTTCATCACTCAGAAAAATGCATTCTGACAAGAAGACTTCACTCCATTAGTCTGTAGAAGAAAAAGCTTGGATCGCACAATTTTCATGAACTTGCAAAATGTGTAAAACAAAAAATCCTGAGAAAGGAAATAGATCTTAGGACAGACTGCGGGAGCGGCTGCAGGTTGGAGAGGAGATGTTTTGGGGTTGTGGGGGCAGAGGCACTCCCAGAGCCCAGCGGGAGAGGGGCAGGGCTGCTCAGAAAGCTTGGGACCAGCCCTGTACCTGTTTGTTCCTGCAGGTCTATCTCCCCCCATGACCAGAACGTGAGCCCCGGACAGCAAGCTCCTTTTCTGTCCCGTTGGCAGCTCTATACCAAGAACCCAGGCTGTGCCCGGCACACAGCAGGTACTTTATAAACATCTGTGTAATGAGGGGACAAATGAAGACTCAAGGGGCCCCACAGGCACCGGCTGGGCCCGTGAAGTACTCATGCCTGTCCCCGATGCCTCCTGGAAGCAGTGGAGGAAGCCGCTGGCCTTGGGGACAGTGGTGGACTCCACCCCTTCTTTCTCCCTCCATCACTAGGCCAGGAGGCGTCGGGGCCACATGCACCTGTGCTGAAGAACTCGCAAGCAGCAAGGACAAGGGATTTATGGCGTGAGCATTCCCGGGGGCCTCCAGCCTTTTCAGACTTTAGAGCGAGGGCGGGTGGGGGCAGAGAATCCCTGTCACCTACTCATTCTCAATGACCTCTCATTTGATTTAGAATCCGTGTCCGGGACCCACTCCTTGCCCCAGGATATCGACGACCTTTTATGGATGGATCTCAGCGGCCACTCGCTTTATAAACAAGCTGCCTGCGTGGAACAGGCTTCCCTGCAAGCTCACGGCCGCAGGTTTGAGGGATGGACGCAGAGGCCCCCGGGACGCTGGCCATGCTGGGGAGCGTGTGAGGTGCCCAGGAGCGATGAGGGCGACAGAACCTTCCAGATGCACCCTCTGCTGTCCGCTCAGCAGGAACACGGAGAAGCCGAGCCGGGCTGGCCTAAGCAGAAAGAGGGTTGGTGGCTCATCCGTAGGAAAAGTCCAGGTGGGTTCGGTTTCGGGCCAGCTTGACGGGGGGTCAAAGCTCGTCAGCGGGACACGGGCCTCCGTCTGCCTCTCTTCGCTCCAGCCTTCTGGCTCCAGTTTAATCTCAGGAAGGCCCGTCCGCGTGGCCGGAGGCCGTGTCCCCGCAGGTCCGGACCTTCCAGGGGTTTGAGTCCAGGGCAGCAAACCCGCCTGTCTTCCCAGGACACGCAGGAAAACATCCCTGTGTCTCCCGGGCTCTGACTGGGTGACGTGCCCTTCCCTGAACCAATCACTGTGGCCAGAGGAAATAGGGCGCTCTGATTGGCTTATGCTCCATTGCGTCATGCACCAATCACTGTGGCCAGAGGAAATAGGGCGCTCTGATTGGCTTATGCTCCATTGCATCATGCACCAATCACTGTGGCCAGAGGAAATAGGGCGCTCTGATTGGCTTATGCTCCATTGCGTCATGCACCAATCACTGTGGCCAGAGGAAATAGGGCACTCTGATTGGCTTATGCTCCATTGCGTCATGCACCAATCACTGTGGCCAGAGGAAATAGGGCGCTCTGATTGGCTTATGCTCCATTGCATCATGCTGGGCTCAGCACCTGGCCGGTGGGGCTCCTAGAAGTGGGGCCTGCGGATGGTGGACCAGCCGTCAGCAGACGTTCCTGACGGGGAGCAGCGCCAGCGTCTGATCCAGGTTTGCGCCCAGGCGCCCACAGGTGAGACCGACAAACATTGGGAGCCTCAGTTCTCCGGCACAATGAGGATCCCAACCGCGTCCGCCTCGCAGGTCGTGCGAGGGAGATCCTGCCAGGTCATTTCCACACTCGTGGAGTTGAAGTGTTTTTATTTCACTCCCTGTCACCCACCGTCTGGCAAATGGAAGACAATGAAGACCAGGATGACTTTTCCAAATCTCGCTTTTCTGCAATGCTCAACCCAGCCCCAAGAAACAGATAAAGGAGCTCAAAGATTTTCCAACAAGTCCAAAATGCCCATCAGTGAGGAAGGCAAGTCGCTCACCCTGAAGTTCAGCCCCCAGCCTTGTCCTCCTGCGCTCCTGCTGGGGATGAGGGAGAGGCCACGGGGAGCAAAGGATGGCTGGGCTGGTCCTCCCTGAGGAAGCCCTTTCTTCCGTGGTGGGCTGAACGGTGTCCTCCTCCCGCGACCCAGGACATGGTGTCAGCAGGACGTGACCTCTGTCTCCGACCTCGGAAACATGTCTTCTGGCCCGGGTTTAATATCGGAAGGGCCTGTCCTCATGTGACTGATTGCAAGTAGGATCTTTGCAGATGTAGTTAAGTTAGGGATCCTGAGATGACCCTGAGGCGGGATCGGTAGGGGTGGGGAGGCCACACTGACGTCCTTGTTCCCTGTGTGAAGCCCCCCTGCCCAGTAGGGGCCCAGGAAAGAGAATGAAGGTACTTCTTCCTGATGTAGCTTCCCCAATCTCCAGCCAGTCAGCACCCAAAGCCCACGAAGCTCTTAGCCACACATTCCTGCCTTGGAGGGGCCAGGGGCATCTCCAGGAAGCTGTACACACAGTTAGGCTCCAAGTTCAGCTTACAGGGACCTTTCCCTCATTTTAATAGTAAGAGATACACCCCCAGTGAGGATTCCATATGTAATGATACAGGCAGTGTGTGTTGGAGCACTTAGGTACTGGGCGTGTGCACCAACCGCAGGCCTGTCTGCCTTTACACACCTGACCTCACCGTATTTCACGAACAGACACGCAGAGTCAACCACAGGCCTGTCTGCCTTTACACACCTGACCTCACTGTATTTCATGAACAGGCAAGTACAGCCAACTGCAGGTCTGTCTGCCTTTACACACCTGACCTCACCATATTTCATGAACAGACACGCAGAGTCAACCACAGGCCTGTCTGCCTTTACGTGCCTGACCTCACCGTATTTCATGAATACACATGCACAGCCAACCGCAGGCCTGTCTGCCTTTACGTGCCTGACCTCACCGTATTTCATGAATACACATGCACAGCCAACCGCAGGCTTGTCTGCCTTTACACACCTGACCTCACCGTATTTCATGGATGCACACACACAGCCAACCACAGGCCTGTCTGCCTTTCATAACCAACCTCACTGTATTTCATGAACACGCATGCACAGCCAACCGCAGGCCTGTCTGCCTTTACACACGTGAGCTCACCGTATTTCATGAACAGGCACACACAGCTAACCACAGGTCTGTCTGCCTTTATATACCCAACCTCACTGTATTTCATGAACGTGCATGCACAGCTCCCACGAAAGGACTCCCCTCAAGGCACCAGGGGCTGCTTCTCCCTCCGAGGAGCACTTTCGCTTTGTGACAAACTTCTTTGCCTACTTGTGTTTTGGACTTGCTCTCAAATTATTTTGTGCTGCAAAGTCAAGAACCTGACCCAGCCACCCACTGACGAAGAGATCATCCTGGATTTAGGGTGAGTCCTAAATCCAACAGTGTCCTTAAAGAGAGGGCAGAGGAAACGCAACATGGAGGCCCAGGCAGGAGGCCACGTGGAGGCGGAGGCTGAGCCTCAAATGGCACAGCCACGAGCCCAGGGATGCCTGGAGCCCCAGAAGCTGGGAGAGGCAGGAAGGATCCTCTGGAGGGGGCACAGCCCTGCCCACACCGTGATCTTGGGGTCTGGCCTCCAGAAGGAGGGGGCACAGCCCTGCCCACACCGTGATCTTGGGGTCTGGCCTCCAGAAGGAGGGGGCACAGCCCTGCCCACACCGTGATCTTGGGGTCTGGCCTCCAGAAGGAGGGGGCACAGCCCTGCCCACACCGTGATCTTGGGGTCTGGCCTCCAGAACGGGAGACGGTGCATCCACAGTGTCGGAAGCCACCTGCTTGTGGCCCTTGTTACAGCAGCCACAGGAGATGTTTTGTCTTCTGCTCTCGAACGTGGGGCTGGGACCTCCCCTCCTGCAAGGCGGCTCTGCCAGCACAGCGGTGGCTGCTCCCGGCATTGCTGAGTGGGTCACCACCGAGTCGGGCAAGGGGGATATGAGGGGGGTCCTGGGCCTCTGCCATTATTTCCTGCTGTCCCTAAACAGGCTCAGGGCCTCCCTTGGCTGGGGGCAGAGACTCAGATGAGCATCCCGGCGTCTCTGAGAATAAAACGTCACAGACGCAGCCTCCACTCAGCGAGCAAAAGGGCCAGCCTGAGGCGTGATCTGCGTCTGGACGTGCAGTTGAGCTCTGTCCCCCAGGAACGGTGAGGAGGTGGCATGTGGGCACAGAGAGGGATGGAGGTGGGAAAAGGGTGAGGAGGTGGAATGTGGGCACAGAGAGGGATGGGGGTGGGAAAAGGGTGAGGAGGTGGCATGTGGCACAGAGAGGGATGGAGGTGGGAAAAGTTGGGCTTGTCCCACAAAAAGGAAGACACCTGAGCCCAGAGCTGGAGCAGCCAAGAGGAGGGGCGGGGAACAAAGGCGGGGCAGGAGGCAGGCGGGGAACCAGGGCGGGGCAGGAGGCAGGCAGGGCCACATGGCACCAGCTCGTGGCAGGGGTGGATGGGGTGGGCTCCACAGCAGGGGCCACTGGAGCAGACCACACAGAGAGGTGTGTGACCAAACTCCCAGCCACTCACTTCAGCACACAGGCTGGCCCATGGCAAAAAGAGCAGACAGGAGGATGGGAGGTGAGCAGCGGGGGGTCCTCAGTGAGGCTAAGACACACTCCCCTGTGCACGCGGAGACCCCACGCCGTCGCATCAGCACCCCAGCGCGCTTCAGGGTAGAACCTGAGCAGCTGATTCTGAAATTCATGTGGGAATGCAAAGGACCTTGGAGAGCCAAAGTGATCTTGAAAAAGAACCAGGTGGGAGGATTCACACCACCTCAAGTTAACGCTTATTTTAGAACCACAGCCATGGGCAGGGCAATGCTGGTGTGAAGCTAGACACAGAGAAAGATAAAATAGATAAAGGAGTAAGGTGAAGAAAGGATACTGCTTTGGCAAATGGGGAAATACACAAGCACACACACACACACAGTCACACATGCATACAAATCCACATGCACTCACACGCACTCACTCACACACACACGCACACAAACCCACACACACACAGACACACGCAGTCACACACACACAAACCCACACACACACTGACACACACGCACACACATGCACACAAACCCCCCACACACTCACACATGCACTCACACGTGCACACAAAACCACACATGAACTCACGCTCACACACATGCAATCTCACACACAAGCACACTCTCAAACACATACATGTACACACGCACTCACACCCATACACATGTTCACACACATACCCACACCTACACACGCACGCACAAACTGAAACACAAACATATGCTCTCACTCACACACACCTTGGCAAGCAACAAACACTTCTCATTCTGGATAAATGAATTTTGATCCGTATCTTCCACCACATACAAAAATTAACCCAGAGTGGATCATTGACCTAAATGTAAAACCTAAAACCATGAAGTCCCTGGAAGGGACTAGAGGAGAAAGTCGTCGTGCCCTTGGCTTAGGCAAAGATTTCTTCAATATGGCAACAAAAGCACGATCCAAAACAAAACAAAATGGATAAATTGGACTTTATCAAAATATAAAATGTCTGTTCTTTGAAAGACACTCTAAAGTGAATAGAAAGACATGCCACAGCAGACTGGGAGAAAGTATTTTCAAAGCACGTGTCTGATAAAGGACTTGTATCCAGAAGTAACACAGAGCTCTCAAAACACAAAAGAAAACAAAATGTCCAGTGAAAACTGGGGAAAGATCAGAACAGACCCGTCAGCACTGAAGATGCCCAAGCAGCCACCAAGCACGTGCGCAGGTGCCCCCCAGGCAGCCGCCAGGGAGCTGACTGACACTCGGAGCCACACGGGGGCCGCTGTCTGGTTACCGGAAGGGCTGATGTGCCCTCGACGTACAAAAGCGGCGTCGGTGAGGGTCACAGAGGGGCTGGAACGCCCACGTGCGGCGGGTGGGGATGGGAGGTGGCACAGACCCTTGGAAAACAATCTGGCTGTTTGTTGAAACATAAAACGTGGATATTTGAGCCTGGAGTGCAAGCCAGGGCTAGAGCTAGATGTCTGGGACTGTTTGCCTCCATTAGACAGGACTGAAAGGCACAGACAGAGGGAGGAGGCCAAGGCCTGGGCCCTGGAACCCCAACCTCAGAGCTCTGCAAAGGCACAGAGGCTGTGGGCTGTGCGGCCAGGGAGGACCCAGGGCGGCCTCAGTACAGAGTCAGGGGGAGGCCTCGCGAGGCGGCGTCACCTGCCCGACGGCGGCCGAGGAAGATGCTGGCCGAGAATTTGCACTGGGCTTGGTGACGGGCGGCCTCGACGAGTGTGATTTCCACAAGTGGCAGGTCCCACCCCGCCGTGGGAAAAGAGAAAGCAGAACCAGTGGCTGCGAGCTTTTCCTAGGAGCGGGACCGCCAGGCAGAGCAGAGGAAGGGGCAGGAGGTCAGTGGCGTCCTCTGGGCGGGAGCCACCCAGTCCCATTTGCGTCTGGTGCTGCTGGAAAAAGCGGGAGACAGCGGAGGGGAGTCGGGGAGGAGCCTGTGCCGGGTCCTAGAGCCCAGGGCGGGGTGGCCTTCGCCCAGGGCAGGTGCCGCTCAGAGCAGGAGGGCGGGGCGTAGGAAGCCGGGCCCGTGGTCAGACATGGTTTCAGCTCAAATACCAGAAGTGACTGTGAAGAAAGCAGGAGTTCGGCTCCACGAATTCGGGGCCGAGGGCGGAATCGGGAAACAGACACCGCTGGGAATGCACACCTGGGGCAGGTGTCAGACGCATGGGGCCGGAGCCCTGTGGGGTGGCACGGGGTGCCTGCTGGGATCCTGGCCTGACCACTCACTTTCCCGTGTCTAACCAGCTACGCAGGCCTGGCCTTTGACTGTAGAACACACCGGCGAGGGAGACAGGCGCACCGGATCGGCCAGTTCCCCGGTGACTTAGGCCCAGCCTGCTTTATAAACAGCTCTGAGGTCTGAACTGCACAGACAGACCCTCTCACTGAGGGCACCCCCAGGTGATTTCGGTCTCCAGCTCTGTCTCAGGAGCCACGCTCTGGAAGAAACTCTTCAAAGAAAACTGTTCCTGAGACTGCTCTCGTTCAGTCCAACAAGAACAAGTCCCATTTAGGGACGAGAAAGGAAATAGGGTCCCATCTATTACAGGACATAGTGCTGAACAGACACCTTTTGTAAAACAGTCTATTGACTGTGGCCAAGACAATTGTAAAATATGGGATCGATTAACACTGAGCTTGGCACATAGTGAGCACCTCTGATCCTGGGTGTGAGAAACAGAAGCTAAGTTGTCATAGAGGGGAGCGGGGCTGAGAATCACGCCAAACCCCATGTCTCCCTGAAATATGATCACCAGGAACCTCCTCCAGAAGGCAAAGGCAGGCACGGAATCCTGCAGGCTTCACGGAGCCCTGCCTGGGGGCAAACCGGAGAGCTGGGGCCTGGAGTATCCGGCAGGTGATGCCACCTCTGTGCCCTGCCAGGTGCCACCTGGAGATAAACCCCAGGGACAGGAGCCCCTGGGAACAGCTGGCTTCACATGCTAGCTCTTGGGTACATAATGGTTCGGATTTTACGACTGTAATCAATAGGAACCCAATTTGACTTTAATTGACTTCAATTCTTTCTTTAAGAAGAAATGGATCGGATGTGTCTGAGGTCCCAGGTGGAGCTGTTGGCCGTCATCTCCCAGCCAGAGCCCGGCCACACAGCCACAGCCATGGCCACGGCACCCTGCAAGGGATGCCAGGAAATGTGCTCTTCACTCTGGCTGGAGCCCAGATACATTTCAGAATTCTGTCAGGGAGGGGGAGTGGGAGAAAAGTAAGAGGGAGATGATGGTCAGTCATCGACACAGAGGGAGGAAGGGGAGTGGGGGAGGAGACAGGGAGGCAGAGGTTCAGAGAGAGGAAGGAGGAGATGAAGCAGAGAGACAGAGGGGGGAGGAAGGAGGGAGGGAGGAGACAGAGGCAGAGAGAACGAGACAACAGCAGCACAGTCCTTAAAAATCAAGTAGAGGGGAGAGCAGGTGCCTCAGCCGCTGCCGTCCGCTGCTTCCCCACAAAAGACGCTGCACCCGTCACTCTGCGCCCGTCACTCTCTGCCCATCACTGTGCCCGTCACTCTGCGCCCGTCACTCTGCGCCCGTCACTGTGCCCTTCACTCTGTGCCTGTCACTCTGCGCCCGTCACTGTGCCCGTCACTCTGCGCCCGTCACTGTGCCCTTCACTCTGTGCCCGTCACTGTGCCCGTCACTCTGCGCCCGTCACTCTGCGCCCGTCACTGTGCCCTTCACTCTGTGCCTGTCACTCTGCGCCCGTCACTCTGCCCCCCTCCTCACTCTGTGCCTGTCACTCTGCGCCGTCACTGTGCCCGTCACTCTGCGCCCGTCACTGTGCCCTTCACTCTGTGCCATCATGTGCCGTCACTCTGCGCCCGTCACTCTGCGCCCGTCACTGTGCCCTTCACTCTGTGCCTGTCACTCTGCGCCCGTCACTGTGCCCTTCACTCTGTGCCTGTCACTCTGCGCCCGTCACTCTGCGCCCGTCACTGTGCCCTTCACTGTGCCCTTCACTCTGCGCCCGTCACTGTGCCCGTCACTCTGCACCCATCACTGTGCCCGTCACTCTGCGCCCATCACTGTGCCCTTCACTCTGTGCCCATCACTGTGCCCGTCACTCTGCGCCTGTCACTGTGCCCTTCACTGTGCCCTTCACTCTGTGCCCGTCACTCTGCGCCCATCACTGTGCCCTTCACTCTGTCCTTCACTCTGTGCCCGTCACTCTGCGCCCATCACTGTGCCCTTCACTCTGTCCTTCACTCTGCGCCCGTCACTCTGCACCCGTCACTGTGCCCTTCACTCTACACCCGTCACTGTGCCCTTCACTCCGCGCCCGTCACTCTGCGCCCATCACTCTGTGCCCGTCCCCCGTGCACCCTTCAGTGCTGTGTGTTACTGTGGCAGCAGCGGCCACATGGGGCCACATGGGGCCACACGTTCTCAGCAGGGCGGTCACACGTGAACAGCTCGTGTTTGTCTCTGAGCCCTGGAGACACGTTTGCCAGCCGTCGAAACTCCAGTCACCCGCCACTGCCAGGGCTCGAGGGCGGGGGGAGGAGGAGACAGGAGAGGGGAGAACGCCGTCACGCCCCGCCAGGCTCCCCAGCTCAGAGCAGCCCCAGAGCCGTCGGGGGATGCACCGTGGGGACGGAAGCACGGCGGGGACCCCTCTGTGGGACCGGCCCAGGTCTCACGAGGACCCAGGGAAGCGCCCCTCAACAGGACACAGTGGGCAATGGCGTGGGCAGGATGGGGTCGGGGCAGGCGCTCCTTGGCGTTCTGACGGTGGCTCCACACAGGCCCGCCACAATGCCCCACAGCAAACTTGTGCAGAAGAAAATCTCGCAGTGCCACCGTCCCACTGCCGGGCGCTAAATTAGTTCCCAGCTTCCCACGACACCCGGCAGCAGTGGGAGTGCCAGGGCAGGTTGTCGCACATTCCTTCTGGACTGTTCTGTGTTTTCCGCAGGAGAATGCTCTATCGCACTTGGTGCCATTAATGTGCACCTAACAACCTGGCACTCATCACAACCCTTTGTAGACAAATTGCTGTTTAAACTGGAAATAATGTAATACATACACCCCATTTTTCACCCAGCACTAGTTAGCATAAAATAATTTGTTTTACCCATAATACAGTACCCTTCTCAACGAACAAATTGTCTTTAATTTTTAAAGGGATATTTATCAACCATACATTAAATATAACGATGAATGAAGCAATACAAAGCCTGTGCCCGACGCCCAGTTTAGGAAAAGTGGGTGATCACCCCGGCGTCCACCCCCCTCCGCTTCGCAGGCTGCCGTCTCTGGGCCTCGTGTGCGCCTGGGCTGGGCCTTCCCCATGGCTCTGCCCCACACCTTCCCATCCCCAGTCGCGCCCGGCATGCCTTTGAATTCAACGCCATGGCCATTGTCTCCCGCACACAGGCCTCAGAGCCCCACTCCTTCTCCTGACGTTTGAGTTCCTGAGATTCCACCCAAGTGGCTGTGAGCTCTGTGGTCATTCTCGCTGCCAGGCTGTGTCTGTTCTATGAAATCACAGTTCCACTCTGCTGGTGGGGGCAGCAGTGGCTTCTGGACTCTCGTTCTTTCTTTCTTCTTTATTTTTGAGGCAGAGTCTTACTCTGTCGCCCAGGCTGGAGTGCAGTGGCGCAATCTCGGCTCACTGCAAGCTCCGCCTCCCGGTTCAAGCTATTGTCCTGCCTCACCCTCCCAAGTAGCTGGGATTACAGGCGCGTGTCACCACACCCGGCTAATTTTTGTGTTTTCAGTAGAGACAGGGTTTCACCTTTTTGGCCAGGCTGGTCTCGCGTGATCCGCCCGCCTAGGCCTGGGACTCCTGTTCTTGTTTGGTGCAGCTGCTGCTGGCTGCCTCCTTCTGGTTTCCAGCTGTGCCTGAACCAGCTCGCCCCACTTCAGTGGTGGCAAAGTGCCCTTCCTGGGGGCGGGCAGCCCAGGACCCACAACTGGGCCCCCATAGGCTTCAGCAGCTCTGTGTGAGCAGCCCTGGCCCCTGGCCCTATGCTGGAGGCAGCGTCCTCCCCATTCCGACGTCACAGAGGAAACAAATGTAAACCGCCCAGCAGCGGCCCCCGAGTAACTCAGCCTGAGCGGAACCCGAGGGTTCTCTGTGGGATTTAAGTGGCACCGTTTCTGTCAGACAGAAAATAAACAAAATTTATGGTGTTTGGAAAGCATCAGAGTTGAACGAGATCATGGCACCCGGAGCCGCTTGAGAGCCGCAGTGATTGAGGGCTGGGCAGAGGCGACGCGGCTGGGGACAGGCCAGGAATGTCGGCCGTCGCCCCATTCAGGGAGCACAGGGCGCCCTTCCCAGGGCCTTGGGGCTCGGAGGAAATTCAACCCTGTCAAGCTCTGAGGCCTTCGGCGCATTTAGCTGTTGAAGGAAGACCCACCGTGGTGGGCTCCAACGAGCATTTTCACATTCACAGTGAGGCCAGCCCGTTCCCGCTCCCACCAACCCATTGCAGGCCAGAGAAAAGCCAGACGCCTGCTCCACGTCCCTCTCACACTTCTCCGCTCTTCACAACAGGCAGCCTGGCCAGCCCCTTCTCACCTCCCTGGGCACTGTGGCTGCAACCCCAGGCCTGGCAAGGTCACGGTGACCTCCACACCGGCCCATGCAATTCCAGGCTTCCCATCACCCCTGAGAAGGTCAAAGGCCCGGGTTGCTCAGCCAGGCTGCTCCCTCCACCATCCCCTCTCAGTTTCCTTTGGCTCACTCCCCTGCGGCCCAGCCCCTGCCTCTGTGGCCCGTGCTCTAGGCCTGCTCCTGCCCCAGGGCCTTTGCGCTCCCCACCCCCACCTGGATACCTGGATGGCCACATGGGCCCTCACCCTTCAAGAGGCTCACCCCGTGCTCAACGTAAAATCACACCAGGGCCCCAGCCTCCAGCGTGCTGCTCTGCCTGTCCCGCCCCCACCCCCGGCTTGCTCTTTGCATCCCTGCCCTGCTCTCCTGCCAGCCAGGGCTCCTGGAGCAGGGGTTCTGCCTGCGGGTTTGCTGTTTCACCGCCTCATCCCGGCACCCAGAACTGTAGACGCACACGGGGCTCCATGTGTGGCCTTTACGGAGCTTGAATTCATCGCTCACGGCAGAGGGGAAGGCAGGTGATGAGCAGGCAGCATCCAAAGCCTCAAAGCTGTCAGTGAGTCTCCAAATGGTTTTGTTTGAACATAACATTAAAAGTCTACGTTGTGGCTTGGGCTGAATTAGAAGGTACAGCACCACACACACACATGCACACGTGAACATATGCCACACACAAGAACATAGCCTCCACACACGCACACATGGGCAGACACATCTGTGAACACACCACAGACACACATGTGCACACAAGATACACCGCACACACACGCACCCTCCCCCGTGGGCTCCTGGCAGCAGGGGCTGTTCCCACCACTCAGGTGCTTGCCCCACCTGGGGAACTGTCCAGTTGTCACCAACTCACTTCTAAGCCATCCATCAGGGCTTCCCAGCCTTAACCCCAGACTGCAGGCTCCGCCTCTCCCTATCCAGCCTGGCGTGCAGGGTGTGATGTGTAAAGGTTCAGCCCCTCCCTGTCCCTTCTTTCCCCACATCTAGGCTGTCCTCGCCAGGCCATGGACTTCTGCTGTTGCCCTGCTCGGCTCCTTTCCTCCTCCTCCTCCTCCCCGTAAAACGTGGGGCTCACCCTGGCGGGAACTCCCCAAGTAGCGGGGTGGAGTTCCAGCCTGGATGAAGCGGAGGACACAGAACCAGGTCTGAGCCAATCAGCATGGCAGTAGGCTCAGAGAGAGATGCACGGCCCAGTCAGAGCCAGGAGAGGGTGGCTGGGCTCCGGGAGACAAGACGTGAGGCTGGAGCGGCTGCAGCCTCTTGCAGACAGTGGAGGCTCAGGCTAAGCCCGCAAGGCCAAGAGGAGCGTGGAGAGCTGGCAAGACGCTGGCCCGATGACATTGCCTGAGCCATGAATCCTACTGGCCAACGCCAGGACTTCCTCAGGCCTCGTCATTGCAGGGACACTTCCCTCCCTTCCTCCGTCTCTCTCCCCACCGCCTCTCTGTCTAGCTTGAGCCAATTTGAGATGGATTTTCTGTCACTTGCTGTTGAAGGAGTCCTGCTCCAGCACAGGTGGATTTCGTGCAAATGAAACCCACAGTATTCAGGTCTGTGTGGAAGCGCTTGCCTGTGATCGGCACGTGCCCTTCGCCTTGTGAACAGGAGCCGTGGGTGATACGAGCGCCTCGGCTGGGCTGCCAGTGTCCATCTGAGGTCCGTCTGTCTTCAGGTGTGTGCTGCGTCTGTGGGTGAGACGCTGTGTGTGCATGTGCGTGTGCCCAGGTGTGTGTGTGGGAGAGGGGGGAGCTGGATCCCAGGCCTGAGAAGGCTCTTCCTGCTTAGAGAGTCCAGGGCTGCCTGGCATCGAGCAGGCTCTGCCCCACAGGTCCCAGGGAATCCACACTGCAGCAGGAAGCCACAGGGCGGGAACCTCAGCTTTCTGGTTTGGCTTCCATGAACCAAGGACAAGACTGGCTTGAAGTTGTGCCCATAGAGGCCCACAGAGCTACTTCAAAGGCAAAGACCGCCCAGTGGGAGTGGGTCCCCCTTGAGCTCACCCGAGGGTCCCACTCCCCCTGAGACATTTCCTTCCCAGGGCACAGACCCCAGGCCTGGACGGAGCCAGGCATGCGTGAAACGGGAAGATGTCAGTTGGGGAACCGGCTGCAGCTCCCACCCTTTGATGAGAAACAAAACCTGGTAGCTGCCCCTCGGAAAAGCCACATGGCTCGCCGCACGTCTCCACAATGGTGCCTGGCTTCTCCCATCCTCAATGTCCACGTTCCCCACTTCTCATCACAGACCCGAAACGCAGGAGGCTTTAGACAGAGCACCTTCGTCAGGAAGCCGGACTGGGCTGAGGTACCTGCTCCCAGCTCCTCAAAGTGCCATCCACTAAATATGCACCGATTAGAGCTGACGTCCAGGCTGCTCAGGCTTACACGATTAATATGCATGAAGACTCCACACACACAGAGCAGGGGTATGTTACTGTGCTGGGATGTAGGACGGCTTCTCGGATAAGGTCATTCATTTTTATGATTCTGCTTAATTTGGATTTGCCAGTCTTCCTTTCATTATCCCATGGGCCAGTCTTAATACTCAGGACCTATGTTACGTGCTTTGCGGCATAATTAAAGCCACTGCCTAATTAGAAAAGCATCTACTGCCCGACAAAGAAAATCAGTAACGCAGCTCATGGAGAAAGTGGTGAGGAGTTGGTTTGAAAGCGGATGGAATCACCTGTTGGAGCCAGAACACACACACACGCACATATGCACACATCACACACGTGCACACATGTCCACATACGCACGCATGCACACACATCTGCGGACACACACACGTACGCATCACACACGTGCACACACACACCCCTGTGGGCACACACACGGATACATGCACACATGTACATGCAGACACACACATACACATGCACACACATCACACACGTGCACACATGTCCACATACGCACGCATGCACACACATCTGCGGACACACACACGTACACATCACACACGTGCACACACACACACCTGTGGGCACACACATGGATACATGCACACATGTACACGCAGACACACATGCACACGTACAGGCATGCACACACTCCTACGTTCTATGTGTGTTTCCGACGACTAGACCACCAAACCAAACCAATCAGCAGTGCAGTTTCTGCCGAGATAGTTGGCGTCTGAGGGGTTAAAGCCATGCAGGAAATCCAAGTCTGAGTTTTGAGTGGGCCCGGCTGAGCTTGCTTTTGTTTACTTCTTTAATCATCCATGGACTCTTCTGAGGCCTGCAATAGCACACCCACCCATGTGGGACAAGATGCAGCTTCGTGGCTGCCTGCAGGGGATGGAAGACTCCCACAGACGCCTGCTAACATCACATGCCCGTGTGTCACCGCGATGCCACGTCCAGTCTGAGCCATTCCTCGCCCATGTCCCTGTCCTTGTTGCATAGCCGGCCTCCAGCGTGTGGCTTCATGTAGTGACCGGACTGTCGTGTGACTTTCTGCCACGGTTGCCAGGGTTGGCACTGAGGCAGACCTGCTGGGGGATTCTGGGTTGCAGCTGGAGTGCTGGCACTGGCTGGACGCCTCTCTTCGTGCTGCCCAGGGTCCGTCCACGTCGACTCCCCGTGTGAGGCGTGTGGGCTGCCTCACAGCCCGGCGGTTCCAGGACTGCTAAGGACTCCCCTGCAGCCCCGGCTCTGCTACCAGCACTGGGCTAGAAGCAACTCACCTTCCCACAGCCGCCCTGAAGGCACGTAGCATCACCCTGGATGTCCTGTCTTGATGGGTGCAGAATCCCACGGGTTTCAAGGGCAGGAACGAGGTTCTGGAAGGCGTGTTTCCATCCATCCTTGGAAAATACCATCTGCCACAATGGGCTCTGTGAAGAAGTGAGATTCTGGGAAAACGCACACCGTATAACAGGAGCCAGTGCACGGCGGCCCAGGGGCCAAGTCCTGCCACCATCTGTTGCCATGGATGCAGGGGCCCGGCTCCCAGCCATGCCCGCTCACATGGGACTGACCATGGCCACCCTTCTGCCACAACAACAGGGTTGGGGAAACTGATAACTATCCCTCAACAGCTATCCCCACGGAGACTGTGGGGCCCAGAAGCCTCAAATGTCGACATCTGGCCCTTTCTAGACAAAGTGTGCTGAGTCCCAGGACGTCAGCCATGAGGGAGTCGCTGCCCAGGCATGAGGCAGCCTGGCGAGGGAGTCGCTGAGCAGGTGTGACTGCAGCCTGGCGCCTGAGCTGCAGCCGGGACTCCGGCTGGGGAGACACTTCTCCAGGGGCTGGGGAGCCCCTGCCCCGAGCATGGCTCTGAGCCTCTCTTCTGAAGCTGAGGCCCTGCCTCTCAGTCAGCATCCAACAGTGGCAGTCACAGAAATCCAGGTCAGCCTGGGGAGGCAGACATGCTTTGGTTCACACAATGGCAGGGCCTAGGGAGGAGCTTCAGGTTCTGCTGGACTCAGGGCCTGGGATGTGCACTCAGGGGAGCCCCTCACACGAGGCCTCACTCACACCCAGATTCCCTGCACATCCCAGCCGAGGCTTCACTCACACCCAGGCTTCCTGAGCGTCCCGGCCAAGGCGGTCCTCAGAGGCCCTAGCTCTGTGGTCTGCACATCTGTGTCCCTCCCACGGTCACATGTTGAAGCTGTGACCCTCTAACCAGTGACACTATCAGGAGGCGGGACCTTTGGGAGTGACAAGGTTGTGGGGTGGAGCCTCGTGATCGGGAAATGGGATTCATGCCATATTCAAGGGAGTCCCGAGCTGCCTCGCCCATTTCACCCCAGGAGGATACAAGGGGACAGCTGCCGACAACCTGACAGAGACCCTGTGCCAGGCCCCACCCCACCGGCACCCTGACCTTGGACTTCTGGCCTCGAGAACGGTGAGAAACTCCATGTGTTGTTTATAAGCCACCCGCTCAGTGGCGCCCTGACCACGGCCAGCAGCTCTGAGGCCCTCCGTCCACCCCGGCCCCCTTCCCCTCACCCCCACACCCTCTCTGGTTTTTCTAAACTCCTTCTCCCCATTCTAACCCCACCCTCTGGCCCCTGCGGGCTCTGGAGAAGCCCTGGGGACAGTAGGCAGGGGCCAGGCTGTTGGGCTCCCCGAGGCCCCTGGGGGCTGGGAGTGGGGGTTAAAGTCATCCAGGGTTTTACCGGGGGTGGGGGGGCTCCGGCAAGACCCTGTTTAAACCTCCTTTCTACCACAGCATGAGCACCGGGTCACACCCTTCCTACCACAGTGTGAGCGCTGTGTGATGAGACCCTATTTAAACCTCCTTCCTACCACAGCTTGAACACGGCGTCACACTCCTCCTACCACAGCGTAAGCACCGCGTGACGCTCTTCCTACCACAGCATGGGTGCCGCCTCACAAGACCCTGTTTAAACCTCCTTCCTACCACAGCGGGGACGCCGTGTCGTGCTCTCTGGGTGCGTCTCAAGGTGTGGATAATCCAGACTTCTGAGTTTAAAAAAATACCAAAAATAAAATAATTAGGCATCCAACATACAAGTTATTTGAGGACTTAAAAATAGCACAGCAGGCTGGAACACGAGGCCTCTAACCCGATGGTGCCATCTACACCCACAGCCCCCGCCCGGGAGGGTCTGAGCCAGGCAGCCTCCCCGGGAGCCGGTGCTGACACAGCCAGAGAAACCATGCCAGACCCGGGCCCCGCTGTCCCCAACACCTGCAGGCCAGTGACTCAGGGCGGTGGAGAAAGCCCAGAGGAAGTGGAGGCGGAGCTGCCCTCCCTGGGGCCGGGCCCGCCATCTGGACGTGTCTCCAGCCGCTGGTTTAGGGGAATCGGGAGGGCTCACTTGAGCGTCCCTTCTCTGCTCGCTCTTCCAACCCGGGACAGAAGACCTGACTGCTGCCCACACCAAAGGGTGTTCCCAGGGCACACGCCGCTCGGGCCCGGGCAGGCAGGGCCGCTCCTCGTGCTTGGGGAGCCTGGAGCTGTCGGCCCTGCAGCTGAGGCCACGGGAGGCCAGGGACATGCAAGCTCGGTGCCCGAAGTCACTTCTAGAGCGGGTTCGGTGTCCCTGAAGGTCCAACTCTGCCCCTAGGCACCACAGAAAATGCCACTAGCCCCTGGTGTGGACGCTGGGCCCCCGGGGAGGCCTCTACCCCGTCACCCAGCCCGTCCCAACAGGACTCAGCCTCCAGTGGCTGCCATCAGACCAGGGCACGGTGACTGTCACCGCAGAGGGCCGCGTGTGGGACGGCAGGGGCCGCGGGGTCTCTGTGCTCCCCAGTAACCCCGGTTTCCGCCGGGGCGGCCCCGCTCCCCAGCCCCCTCCAATGCGGATTTAGTCTCGTTTCCCACAGGGAACGTGTAACAAGGCTTGACCAATCAGTGAACGCCATTCCCCAGGCTGTTGGCTGTGATTGGGTCCCAGACAAGCACGTGACCCACTATGGGCCAATGAAAGTCGCCCGAGACTGTCGCTTGCATGGTTGCTGGGACGGTCCAGAGTCCTCAGTGGGGACGGTGGCTGCAGCTGCCACACCTGGAGCCTGAGGATGGCGCGGGCCAGTTCCTCCCTGGGATCTCCCCTCCCTGAGCCCAGGCTCTGCTCAGCTCAGCCCCATGCTGTCCCCTGTGCGACCGCTGTGGGCTTCCTGCCAGGCTCCTCCGCCCTCGGGCTTCTGTTGGGTTCAGTCTTGGGAGGCAGCCCCAGAGCCTGAAGGGTGGAAGGAATGAGGGGCATCCCAGATCCCCTCCCCACCGTCTTGGCAGTGGTTTCTTCTCTCCAGAGTTACTGTCCCTACCCCCTGTCCTCTCTCTGCAGCTCCAACTCTTGGCTGGGCACCTGTGATTCTCGCCCCTGTCCCTTCAGGCCGTGGAGAGAAGAACATTCCAGTGCGGTCACTTCCTGGATCAAATTCCTGGATGCCCAGTGTCCACCGGGTGTCCTGGATTCACCGTGGTCACTGCCTGGATGCCCAGTGTCTGCCGGGTCTCCTGGATCCACTTCCTGGATGCCCAGTGTCCGCCGAATCTCCTGGATTCACCGTGGTCACTGCCTGCATGCCCAGTGTCCACCGGGTCTCCTGGATTCTGCCCATGTCCACGTGAGGGCACCATCAATTTCCTGCGAGGATCCTAAGGGAGTCAAGGTACATCTAACCCGAGAGCAGTCAGGGGTGGACTATCCCCTAGATCAAGCCATACCTGAAGCCCCACCTTTCAGTTGCCTGAGTCAACAGAGTCCCTTTTTGGGTTGAGCCATTTTTAATTGGATTTTATGTCTTATTGACTGACCCATCCGGATGGCCAGCAGTAAGGGGTTTCTTTTTGGAGGATGAGGGACACCAATGTGTCTTCTCATTGAGGAGATGCCTGAAGGACAGGAGGCACTCACAGGAGGCCCTGGAGACAGATGTGCCCCACAGGCATCCCAAGGACACCTGCGGCCTGGCAGCATGGAGACTCTGGGTGAAAACAGAACCTTGTGAGCTGCCCTGTCTGTGTCTGTGAAGCAAAGTGTCTGGAAGGGGTCTGCGTGGAAGCTTCCGAGAGCGGTTAGGGGAAGGGGGCCCACGTCCTCCCCAAAGGGCTGGAGAGGGAGGCAGGCTGTGCCCCCAGCCCAGAGTCGGGAGGAGGCCGGCAGGCAGCAGCTGTGGAAAGGAGGCGGAGCCCCCCAACTCCTGAGCCAGCAGAGGAAGGAGTGGGACAGAGCACGCCCCAGAGGGAGACGAGACCCCGGGGAAGAGACCCCTCAGGGCGGCCCCCCAGCCCCTCCTGGGCTCAGCTTTCAGCCTGCACCCCCGTCTGGTCCCTCAGAATGACTGGGGTTTCCACTCTTTCTGTAAAATCTCTAGACTCCATGTCCCCGCTCTGCCACCACCTACTCTCTGTGGGATCTCAATAAGGAGATTTAACCTTTCTTGCCTCAGTTTCCCCATGTATAAAATGGGACAATAACAGGCTCTGCCTCTAAGCTCGCTGCAGGAATTAAGGGAACAGTGCATGGTCTGCAGCCAGCCCCTTGCAGCCAGCAGTTCTTCAATGACCCCAGGGAAAGGCCGGGCACCGTGGAGATGCTTCCCAGCCATACTCGCTGAGCCGCGCTGGGTTCGGGTCTCTCCACCCAAGCTCCTTTTTGGAAAATGGTCCCTGGGAAGATGGATAAGACCCGGCGTCCACCGGGGTCTGCTTTCTAAGTGGTACGCTGTGAGGGCCGTTGCAGGTGAATAATTCCCTGTGATCTATTCTGCAGGCACTGGGGAAGCTCCAGGTTGGGTGCGGAGCTGGAGAGACCGTGGGCAGGGCCTGCGAGGGGCAGGCGAGGGGCCAGGAGGCCTTCGCGTTCGAGCTTCTCGGCCACAAGTGCAGGGGCGGGCTGGGCATGGGGTGTGTGTTTCACTGGTGTCAAAGCCTCCTCACTTTTTTGGGGAAAGAAATGGGATATAAATACATGTGTAAATATCTATATAAAATTCACATTCTCTAATTCAGGAGGCAGATAGCTGTGTGCCTTCAAACCAGAATATCTGTAAACTGGGTTTCTATCAGTGAGGGTACAGAGCAAATGCCAGTTCTTTCAAGGTTCACTCCGATGTCGTCTTCTGTGACATAAGAACGAAGCTGGGACTGGCCACTCCTGCCAGACTTTATCTTGGCAGACGGGGTTTCCTGCCGCACAACAGCTGCCTAAAGGCTCATAGCCAAGAACGGTGCTCGCTCCAGCAGTGAGGCTAGCCCTGACAGCAGAGTTCACCCCCAAATTTAGGACACACAGGAGCCTTCAAACCCCCCCCACACACACCCACATGTGCACACATGTACACACGCACATACATGCCTGCACACGTGCACACACGCACACGCGTGCACACACACACGTGCGCACACACATGCACACGCACACACCGTGCACACTCAGTGCACAGGTCAGCCGACGTGCACCAGCCACTTTCCAAACCGAAGTCATTCCAGCCCCAAGTCTGTAGCTGGCACCACATGAAAACACCACTGTGTTCTTACTTATGGAGCATGTTTCTTTAAATTGGCCTATTTTAAAACTAAATGCATTTTTTATTTGAAAAGGAATCTTCATTTCACCGCTGCAAATGGAAAGCTGGCATCGCTTGTGTTAAATCATGGTAACCATGAAAATAAGTGGAATGAAAATAAAATAATGTCGCACTCTGGATGTGGTTCAGGTGCGGAAGCCTCCGTGCCCAGGCCTCAGCCCTGTTTGTCTAAACCACTCATGGAGACCCCTCCAGGAGGAATCAGAGCCTCGGGAGCTGGGCCCGCCTCACCTGCACCGCTCTGCTGTCTAAGGAAGACTCATCACACCTAGAATCGGTTCCCAGGGCGTGTTTGTGGGAAAGGTGTGAAGTGGGCCCCACCTGGCTAGAACAGGGAGCTCCAGCTTCCCACAGCCACCTCTACGTGGCCCGGGGTGCTCCCTGCACCCCCAGACACCGCAGGCCTGTCTGGCCATCTCACGTCCCTCCATCCACACGCGGGGAACCCCAGAGCAGCTGAGTGAACACCCTGGGAACCACTGCCTGAGTCACAAGGAATGGAATGGGGCTGAGACACGCCTTTCCTCCCCGCTTCTCTTCCCTGCCAGCCTCCCCATCCCCATCTCAAATGAGCTCCTGGCCCAAGAATCCTGGTGTCAGGGTCCCCTGGTGGGTGGGGCAGGCTGACCACACCAGGAGCTGCAGAGGGGGCTGCCCTCCCACCTGCTCTCCCTCTGGCAGCTCCAGGAGGAGGCAAGTATGGCTGAGGCCACCTGCCACCACCCCACGGTGACAACGCGGCCCTGCTGGGCAGCCCTGAGCGCCCAGCTTCTGCAGGACGATGCCACCAGGGGCCCTCCCAGGGAGCATCCTGTCATGGGCTGGGCTCTGTGGACAGAGGCGCAGAAGGGGCTGGCAAATCCTGCCTTGTCGTGGCTGCTCCCTCAGGGCAGGTGTGAGGGTCAGAGACCAGGCTCCATCCCGAGTGGCACTGAGGCAAAGCCGTAGCCTCCAGGGCCTGGCTCCTGATTCACCCACTCTTGCAGCTTGGGGGGCGACAGGATGGGAGGTGCGCAGGCCACGGATGGAACGGGAATGCCCTTCGCTTCAGACACAAGCGACACCCAGCTCAGCAGTGAGAGGCCACAGCAGGTGGGACCAGGGCTGGCAGGGCCTGACACAGGGTGCCTGTGCTGCATGAGCCATGATGCCTCAGCCCGGCTTCCGCGGTCCCCAGATGCAGCTACGGCAGGGGTGCCCCAAGCCTGGGGTAGGCCCTGGGAAGGACGCCCGCAGCCAAAAGTGGGGGAGGGGGAGAGACACAGAGAGAGAGAGAAAGACAGAAGATACAGAGAGATTGAGAGAAGGAGAGAGGGAGAGACGGAGAGAGACAGGGAAGACGGAGGAGGCAGGAGGGCCCCACGGGCCGGGACTCCTGACCGCTCCACTTTCCCACAGCAGACCTTTGCGCCTTTCTCCCAGGAGCCCACAGCTCGGGAGACCACTCACTTCCCCGGCCGGCGCGGGGTGGGGGCACTCACTTCCCTGGCCCGGAGTGGGGGCGGCTCACTTCTCCAGCCAGCATGGGGGGGCAGCTCATTCACTCACTTTCTGGGCCGGTAGTCGGGGATGCTCCGATCCAGGGAGATGCGGTCACTGAGCTGAGCGTTGTAGCCGTACTCCTCATACTTGCCTTCCGCCTCCTGGCCGTCATCACGCAGGGTGGCCGCCAAGCCGCCCTGGCCCAGGCCTCCTGGCCCCTCCACCAGGCCGATGGGCTTGGCGAGGCCTGGGGGAAAGGAAGAGAAGGAGGTCAGGCAGGCCCAGGACACGCTGCATCTGTACCCAGGAGACTCCCCTCCCACCCCTCTCCCCGACGGCCACTTCCCCCGCCCCCGGTGCAAGCCCAGCAAACTCTGCAGATGGGAGGCTGCCAGCTTGGGACATTCCAGAAAGTGCAGAGTGAAGGGCGGTGCTGGGCGGAGGAGGGAGGGATGAATGGGTGGTGCATGGGGCTCTGAAGGCGGTGGACTCTGTGTGATGCTGTAATGGTGGAATTTGTTACTATGTATTTTTTGATTCAGGGTCTTTCTCTGTCATTCAGACTGCAGTGCAGTGGCACTATCTCAGCTCACTGCAACCGGGCAGCCTGGAACTCCCAGGCTCAAGCAATCCTCCCACCTCAGCCTCCTGAGTAGCTGGGCACACCACCAAAACCGGCAAATTTTTGTATTTTTAGTGGAGACGGTTTCACTGTGGTGGTCAGGCTGGTCTTGAACCCATGACTTCAAGCGATCCACCTACCTAGGCCTCCCAAAGTGCTGGGATTGCAGGCGTGAGTCACTGCACTGGCCAATACTTGTTCTTACGCAATTGTCCAAACCCACAGCAGGTGTGACACTGAGTGAGCCCCTGTGAGCCACGGCCCTGGGTGAGCCGCCTGCATCGGGCGGCGTCGGCTCGATACACAGTCACACTCACGCACGTTCACGCCCGGGCACTGTGCCTGGAGGGTGGAGGATGCAGGAACTCCGCTCAGTCTCTATCAGCCCGAAACTGCTCTGACGGTCAGACCTACTGATGCTAAAAATATTAACTCAAAAACTGCAACTACTCTAAGAAGATCAGGTGTTTTAAACGCCACGCCACTGCCACCAACCCCACCATATCCGAGCTGGACACATATCCGCATGCATGCTGCTACTCTGGGGTAGGAAGAACCGAGCCGTCGACACAGGCAGCAGCCAAGACGCGGCTCACACGCGTGACGCCAAGTCAAAGAATCAACACAGGAGACCTCATCCCGTGTGGCCACCGGCGTGAGGTTCAAGAACAGACGGAATCCCAATCCCATCCCACAGCCATCGGGGCGGGACGGGGACCCCGGGCTGGGGCAGCGTCGACTGGAAAGGGGCCGGTGGAACCTCTGGGCTGATGGGGAGGCTCCACGGCTTTGTCAGGGTGTACGGCGCGGGTGCCCAAGGGGGCCGGGCCAGGGAAAGTTCTAGGTGCTCAGTTGTGCTGGGCAAGTGGACGTGCCTTGGGGATGCTCATCCCACGGGGACGGGGGCGAGAGGGGTATCTGCCCCCATAGATGGCACCGTTGGCTGTCTCTGAGCTGGGAGTCTCTGGGGCATCGTGGATTTGGGAGGCAGGTGCCCAGGAAGAGGCGGCATGGACCCCTGGGGCTGGGCTGCCTTTTGTCAGCTTGCACAGAGAGGTCTCTGGTCCTCGGAGGAGGGCCAGTGGAAACACAAACTTGGGAAATACCCGATGCTGACCTCCCACAGCTGCCCGCATGGGAGGGGCCCTTCTCTTGTGGCACCAGCTCCTGGGGCCCGGCGGGGTCTCTGTAGGATTCCTGCTCCGGGCAGGGACCGATGCCCTGGGGAGACTCCAGTCCGTGACCCTCCCCCCACAGCAGGGCAGTGAGTGGGTTTCTCCCCTCCGCAGAGCCGAGGCTTTGAGCCTCCTGGAACCTCTGGACTTTCTGGAATATTCTATTTTAAATGGATAAACAAAGTGTTCTTATTTATGTAGGACTGAAGGCTACAGATTGGACGTACAATTGAAAAACGACACAAATCACTTCCCTTTGTTAATACTGTGCGATAAATACGTAATCATGCTATTTAAAAATATCAATACTGCACTTGCATTGTTCACTTTGGAAAGTCTGGAATTGGAGGTCTCCCAGAGGCAGGCACAGCAGCTTCTACCTCGAGAGAGACCTCATCATTCCCAGGGCTCAGGCCTCAGGTGGGGATTGGCCGCTTGGCCAGAGGGTGGCTGAGTGTGGTTCCGGACGGCTGCCCAATGCCTGGCATTGGGGCTTGACACCTGGCAGGAGGGTGGCTGAGCATGGTTCCGGACGGTTGCCTGATGCCCAGCATTGGGGCTTTATACCTGGCAGGAGGGTGGCTGAGTGTGGTTCCGGACGGCTGCCCGATGCCCAGCGTTGGGGCTTTACACCTGGCAGAAGTGTGGCTGAGTGTGGTTCCGGACGGCTGTCCGATGCCTGGCATTGGGGCTTGACACCTGGCAGGAGGGTGGCTGAGCGTGGTTCCGGACGGCTGCCTGATGCCTGGCATTGGGGCTTGACACCTGGCAGGAGGGTGGCTGAGTGTGGTTCCGGACGGCTGCCCGATGCCCGGCGTTGGGGGCTTTACTTTTTCACTTGTAAAATAAAATATGCACGAGTTAAAAAATTCAAACAATCCAGAAAATCACGAAACGGAGAGTTGACGACTGTGTGCTCTGTCTCCTCTCCAAGCGCCACACTTCAGAGGAGATGCCTTTTTCTGGTTTGAGTCCTTTTCACTGTGTCTGCTGCAGATCCAGGTCTCGCCTCGTCAGCCTGAGACGAGGTCCCCTGACTTCTTGGCATGAAAAATGAGGGGCTGAGCCCGTTTTCACCCCACCTTCTTCCCCTGCCCCCCTCCTTCCCTCGATTTTTCTTAGCTATTATTTTTAGTGATCCTGTGGTTACCTTGGTGGCTTCAAAAGGAATACGTAAGCCTCTATTTCTGGAAGCTCTGACTCTAGCCAGCATCTCCAGACTCCCTGCCTCATCAGATGAGAAATGGGCGCCCTGATCCACCTGCCGCTCAGCTGTGCCGCTACTTTTACACCCCTAAAGGCATCTGTGACACCCACCCTCGGCTCTATCACTGTGAGTGAGTGTTCACAGGACTTGACGACGGGGTGGTTCTGAAATGCAAAGCAGGCCGGGCGTGGTGGCTCACACCTGTGATCCCAGCACTTTGGGAGGCCAGGGTGGGCAGGCCGGGTGCCGTGGCTCACACCTGTGATCCCAGCACTTTGGGAGGCCGGGGTGGGCAGGCCAGGCGTGGTGGCTCTCACCTGCAATCCCAGTACTTTGGGAGGCCGGGGCGGGCAGAACACTTGAGGTCAGGAGTTGGAGACCAGCCTGACCAACATGACAAGACCCCATCTCTACTAGAAATATAAAAATTAGCCAGTTGTGGTGGTGCGCATGCACTTGTAATCCCAGCTACACGGGAGGTTGAGGCAGGAGAATCGCTTGGACCCAGGAGGCAGAGGTTGCAGTGAGCTGAGATCACGCCACTGCACTCCAGCCTGGGCGACAGAGCGAGTGAGGCTCCATCTCAAAAAAAGAAAGAAAGAAAGAAAAAAAGCAGTAAATTGACATGCCCACATCAGGATTACGTAGTTACAATCCACCATGGCACCAGCACGGCATGGACACTATGACGGAAATATTCTATCACCCACTAAACCTGTGCTGCTTAATGAAGAACTTTCAAAGGTCAAGACAGTATCATTGATTTTCCTGTTACACTATCAATTTCTCAGAATTATGCATATTTTGACTTGTTTTAGGTTTGGATCTTGACTTTTCACATGCCCTTTTGGAGAAGACAAAAAGATAATAATAATAATAATATCTACTGAGCAAGCGCCCTTCACACACATTAACATGTCATTCTCCACAACACCCCTGGGACGTAGGCTCTGTATTTCACCCCATTTTGCAGATGAGGAAACTGAGGCTCAGAGAAGTCAGGCCACACACACAGGGTCACAGGGCTGGTCAGCATCAGAACCATGTTTGAACCCACGCAACGTGGCATGGAGCAGCTCCTCCCGACAGCCGTGCTCTGCTGCCATGTGAGCTCAGGCCTCCTGGCGATGTGACCGGGGAGCACAGCCCCATCTTCCCAGAGATGTTCCCGACTACAGGGCCGGCCCTCAGTGCCCTCGCCTCATGGCCTTCTCACTCCCAGGTCCCTTTGCATCAATTGTTTGCCCAGCGGCCACCCCCGGGCCCTCTTCACTCTAAGCCTGGGTGGGCTCCATCGCCCTGTGGATCCCACGTCTGCTCAGGTCCTGGAGGTCCTCTCATCCCACTGAAGTATGTCTCTAAAGAAGTCTGAAGAAGGGCTGTGTGGAAAGTAAACTTGCTGAGCCCTCAAATGTCTGGAAGTCTCTTTCGTTGCTCCTCATGCTGGCTTGATAATTGTGCTGGGTATAGAACTCCAGGCTCGACGGTTTTTTCACCTCATGCAGCGCCCAGTGCTGCCTGCGAGTGTTCTGAGGTCGGCAGGACCCTCTTTCTTCTTCAGACAGGCATTTTGTTTCTGCCTGTCTCTGGACACTGATTTTTGTTGTTGTTGTTGGGATCCTAGATTTGGTCAGGGCATATCTTGAAGCGAATCACAGTCACACTTGGCAATCCACACTCATGTCGACGTTCAGCTCCAGGAAGTTTGTTCTGTTAATGATGTGACTGCATTCCCATCTGCCATCCCTGTTTTCTCTTCTGTAACTTCTGTTAAGTGAACGTTTCCTCTCCCGGTTTATCTCCTGCCTCCCGAGGCTTCATTCTCCATTTTCATTCTCTTGGTTTTCATCTCATCGGCTTGATCTCTTGTCGTGTTGCCAGTTAGCCTGTCCCTTGAACTGGCTTTGTCATCATCTATTTAATCCCAAAGGATGCTGTTGTCCTCCAGCCGCCCTGCCTTGCACGAATGGCAAACTTGTTTTACTCCATGTGGTTGGCAGCAGCCCGAAAGCTGTCCACATCCGAATCCCTGGAACCAGCGAGTGTCACGTTACACAGCTAAGGGGGCTTGGCAGACGCCCCCAGCTTTGCCTGAATCTGCTTCATTGGCCAGAAGGTGCGGAGGAGCTGGGCCTTCACTGGCCTACGTGCTGTGGTCCCGTCACTTGCACGGGGGTTAGGGAACACCCTGGCCATGCCACTGCTCACAGCTTCCTTGCGGAGGAATGAGGGTTGCCAGGCCT